AATTTGGTTTTAAATTGAAGAAATAAAATAAGAAGGAAATGAATTGGATGTAGGGTTAGGAGATGTCAGTACAATTATAAGACTCGAAAAAATAACATCTTAGTGCTCAAAAATAACGCCTCAGAAGTGTTTTGGGCGACATAGTTCATTTTGTGATATCTACATATGATGTTATTCATATCTATAGGCTACGGTTTCCACTTCCCATTAGATGGTTAGTATGTTTGTTCATACAAGCTTCATAATAATCAGGAAGTTGTTAAATAATTTAATAAAAATAATTATTTTCTGTATAATAATAATGATTAAAATAAATAATAAAACTAAAAAGGCACTTGATGCATTAAATATTTCTTTTAAAATTTTAATAGGCATATATTATGTCGTCTATCTGTGTATTTGAGTACACAAAAACTCGTGGACAAATTTTGATGAAACTTTCACTAATGTGTTGAGCAAGGGTCAGGTAAGGATCTAGGAAATCATCACGCTGTTCCTTGTACAAGCTTAGCAAGTAGGTATTATTTTTTATACTCACTGCTTATAACGTGAAAATATAGATGGATTTTAATGGGATTTTCACTTACAACAATAAAATTTTATATCCTTCTACTGGACGAAATCGTCGATTTTGTTGGTAGGTTATTTACTTATCAAAATGTTCGTTCATTAATGTGAAATGTGAATAAGTAAAATAAGTACCTACATAAAGGTTATCAATTAAACTGATAAGATTTATAAGATAAGATTACCTCCTAGCTTCGTATATACAAAAACTTCCTATTTATAAGTTTTAAGTACATACTTGTTTACCTTTTTATAATATTCATAGTACATATATAATATACAGTGTTTACATCACTGTTATCAATCTAATTCAGTATTCAAGCTACGTAAGTTTCTATGTAGGTTTTATAAAGCTACGTAACAGATTCGGACAGTAACTTGCAGCTGGAGATATATTTTCGCGGATGTTTTTTTTTTTAATAGAATGGTAACCTCGCCTGTGCTAACGGTTTACGCTAGCGGGCCACCAGTAAAGGATGATAGATGAGAATAAAAAGATAGGCCAGTTAACCTATTGTGATGAGTAATCGTGAGGAATTTAGGACGATCCTTTCCAGGGGGAACCAAGTGGAGGTCGACCTGACTAGTTATATCGCTAGCGATGGAACTGATAGTCCGTATTACTAACAATCCCTTCTCGATTGTTAGCAATGGAGTTTGACAGCCCTATTGCTAGCAATATGCCCTATCAAGTCAACTTCCACGTGGTTCCCCCTGGAAACCATCCTGAACAATTCTCGTTGAATTCGTCACGATGTGCTAACTGACCTGCTTCATCCTCATCTACCATCCTTCAGTAGTGCCCCGCCGGTGTATACCGATAGCGCGGGTGGGGTTACTATTTCATTATCACCCATAAAAAAAATTCCTTCATTCCATCGGAATATTAAATTAAAAGAATCTTTTTTCAAATAGACTTGTTTACAAGCACTTTTAAAACGTTGTTATTTATGAACGTACTGAATTCGGAAAGTTGAGAAGAACCCGCAAGAAACTCCACAATTTTTTCTAAATCTCTGTTAAAGTTATGTGTATTTATTTACATGTATTATGTCTAAAAGTACATAATAAAATGCACGTGCAGAATCGACTAACACCATACATATTCAGGTCATTCAAGTAATCGTTTAGTGTGTAACGTGTGTGTGTGTGTGTGTGTGGCTTTGTTCAATAAGTGATTTCATTACCAATTTTAAATTTATTTTAATTAATTTACCTTTTAAGGTAGATTAAAAAGATCCTTCGGTGTATACTTATACCATATACTTACTATTTAATGCCCATTCCCATAAAAGACCTATTAACTTTTTCTAAACGATACTTCGGAATAGAAAGTTTGAATTACATCGCTGTTTTCAACTGAATTCAAAAAGAGATTCTCAATTCGGTTGTATTTTTTTAGGTTTGTGAATTCACAACTCTGTCGGTTCTAAATCGATTTGGAAAAATATTTTTTTATTTATTTTTTATTTATATCATTATCAAAATCGGCCCAGTAGTTTAATTTTTAGATCAAAATAACTGGTTTTGTTATAATTCATGTCGGTTTTTTTTATGAGACACAATCTTTGTTTAAGAAACAGTTGAAGATTCCTGCGTGAATGCACAATAAATGCATATATGTATTATGAAGCAATGACGAGAATATTTGCTTTTTAAAATTTCTCTCTTAGTGATTCACGACTTCCCACAGGATAAATCGCGCGAATAGCACGTTTTTGCACTACAAATATACTTTCGATGGCAGTTGCTTTACCCCTAATAATATTCCTTAGAACAGTATACTATGAAAGTAATCTGGAAATCTCGATATTTTTTTTTTTATACAACTTAGAACAGCAAACAAGCTGACGGCCCACCTGATGGAAAGTGGTAACCGTCGCCTATAGACATGAGCAGTACCATGGACATAACAGAGTATACTATTTCGCCCATGATGCCCGCCATGCGTTGCCATTCCTGAGGACTCAGGTGTTATTCCTCTGTACCCAGTAAATTCATCCAGATATTAGTAGACTGTTTAATCTTGCTTACAACATACACCGCAGAACTTAATTTAGTTGCAAATTTTGAATATGAAGACGCCAATGAGTTTTATTATTATTATGTATTAGTAGTTTTATAATACAGGGGACAAACGAGCACGCGGCTCACCTAATGATAAGCGACTACCGCCGCCCATGATCACCCACAACATCAGACGCATTGTAGGTGTGCTAAGAGTGACTCCAAGAAAGAAAATAGGAATTAAAAAATCAAAAGGTTTGTTATTTAATTTTACAATAGAATTGGAATTGAGATTTTTAGAAAGAGAAAAATTTGGTCATTTGTTCAACTATACGGGATATTCATATTTGGTTCCACTACCCTATCTATATTTCTTTATAGATACCCAGATTAGAGACGTGAGTGTCCGTGTTTCGAATTGCATATTAGTAGTATCTTACCCGTGATAGTGATCGTGAGCAAAGGGCATTGGCATTGACAGTGGCGAAACTATACCATCTGAGGTCTGTGGGAAATTTATTAGATAGAATACTCCCATTATATAGAATATTATAAATATTATTATTATAAAGAATCAAAGAATTTTCAAAGGATAAAATAGCCAAGTTGTGTAGCTTTGCTTCATCTTGATAGTTTATTTATATCATTATTTATGTATGTTCTTGAGTTAACACTTCAATTCTTCAAATAATTTAATATTTATTTACTAATTTATGCAATAAACAAATATTAGATTCTTCCTGACCTCTTGGACTAGGGACCTCTTCGAATCGAATTGGCATTTTGTCTGTTCTGTCACCATGTTGTTACGCCACTGGGTGATCAGTTCTTTGTGAACCTACCTTAATGAGTGAATAGACACTAGTAGTAGAATGAACAGTGCGGTAAAGCAATATTATTGCCGACGTCGTGTGTATAGCAATTGCACACATAAAAATGAATTGTGGACAATAATGGATTACCAATTTAAATTTATTTTAATTATTTCTCACTATCTTTTAAAAGTAAAAACGTACATAGGCAATCACCTAGGTAGTTATCATAGTTCTTGATATACTAGAGCTGAGTTTACTGCATCTTATAAAAAGTGTCAATTTGCTTCTTCATTTAATTTGGTGTAAGTAAACAAGTATTTGGTGGGCAATTATTTTTGTTATTTATTTGTATTAATGATAATGTCAATGTAAGGTCATATAGCAAGAGATTTGTTATTTAAAGTGAATACATAAGCCGATTATAAGTATAGCTATTTATATCTATGTTTACTACCTGATAAACGTCTTGTTAAAACGTGAGCAGGTGCAGATATGTGTATCACGTATGTATGCTAGTCAATCAAGATTATGATAATTAATTGACTTGTATAGATTTTTATGCATGATACTTTACCGCAGTCCGAGTTCACGTTACAAGTAAGATGGATTCTCAAGAATATATCATGGAAAATGTAGTGTGACAATGGACCGGCTGTGTGGATTGACAAATTAAAGTAACTGATGAGATGAAGGGTTTTTGTATTGAAACACTCAGTGTAAGACCCCGTTAGATAAAATATGGTATCACGTAAACAAGTAGCTTATACTCCACAAAACAAAACACCGACTTCAATCGTGGTTAAACTGAATTAGTATTGACTTCACTATTTTTATTTTAAAATATTTATTTTCAATATAACCATAAAGAGCATGTTTCTTCCTAAAAGGCTGGCAATATATACAATTTGTCTGATGTTGCGAGTGCCTATGAGCAGCGGCAATCACTTACCATCAAAAGAGCTGCATGTTAGTTTGTCCCCATGTTACACATAATTTAAAATTATGTTCCACAAAAACCGACTTCAATTGTGGTAGAATCAATTATTTTGATTTAAAAACTGATCTAATGAACTGATTTTGATAATTTTTTATGGATCAATCTGTGAATATATCCTTTCAAGTAAAAAATAACTTTCCAAATCGATTTAAAACTGAGTTTTGAGTTTATTCTGTAGATTTACTTATAGTTCAATTGATTACGGTGATATAAATTTGTCTAATCTATAGCAGTTTATTACTTACAATTATGTGGCCAGACAGTATGTTAATCCCAAGGCTTATATACTATGATACTTGTATACATACATACAAACAAACAAACATATTGAGAATCTCCTCTTTAAGATTAAAATCGTCGTTGATTGTGTATTGTTAAAGTTTGAAGTAGTAGTGCTAATAAGATTTCCGGTTTCGTCTCATTCATTTGAATATTTTTTTTTTAAAGAAAATATAAAATTTGGCATGGAATTTTCATTATTCATATTCCACAGTATCATATCAATGATATATTTTCATACAAAAAATTTTTGGAACTTAACCTATTTTCTCCCCTGTATTAAAATAATATAAATGTTACGGGGATATTTAAACAACCAAATGAAAAATCTAAACTTTCTATATAAATTCATGTATTAAAAATTATGATTACAATAACATACATAATTGTTAAACATATTAATCACAATCTTGAGACACTAGATCGGCTGGCCAAGATGCGGTAGCTGCGGGCAACAGCGCGGCCGGACACAACAGCAGTTCATATATGGAACTCAGAGTGTAGCTTCCGAGGGAGTTCAAGGCCCATTCGTGGTTCACCGGTACAATATTCAATTCCATTGCTAAATCTATAACAATAATAAAGTGTTATTTGGGGAAATTATTGTTTAACGTTTGCAAAATATGTGAAATTATGTTTATATTGATACATATATGAAACAAAATATGGATACAAACAAAACACTATTATTTCACATAAGAAGTTTCATCGGTGTGCTTAATTACATGTATTAAGATAGAATATCATATTGAACTTGTGCTTTAATAAAGGCACAAGTTCAATATGTTATTCAATAATGCCTTGCACAATAGTGCCTTGTGTCTCACATTATTCATACCAATTAAAAATCATCATATCAGCCGTTAACTGTTCACTGCTGAACATATGCTTCCCCCATCGGAGAGTTTTGCCAGTAATTGCCACGCTTGGGTTGGCAAATGCAGTTTACCACTTAAAAATACTGAACGGCAATTTAGCATGTTCACAATTATCGCCATCTGTAAAATTCGTAAGGATCTCTATTTTTTTTTAATAACATGTAGCATATCTTACTGATAATGTAGCTTTCTATTGATGAATGAATGAATGAATATGCATACTTTATTTGCTTTATACAATATAGGGAATAAGCAGGACAATAAATGTAACGATACAGTAACGACATAGAAGAAAGAATTTTTTAAAATTAGTTGTTTTTAGTTTATTCATTACAAACACACATAAATCAAACCTTTTCTCATTATAATAATATTACTTTACTTATTTCTTTACCGTGGTTTTGTCATAAAAAGAATTATATCGGTGTCTATGAACTACTTGTTGGCAAGTAAATCTTTTATTTTATACTAATTTTCACCTATGCTACGAAAAGTTTTCGTTTACATTAAGTACAATAATACATTTTTGAGCATTTTCGTTCAACGAAACTACTCTGCACATTGAAGTACTTTTTGTCATCGCGATACTTCTTACCAGGTAGTGGAGGAAAAACGGTAAATAAACCCATGCCTATACAGTCCAAAGCCAAAGACAAATGAAGTACCTTAAAACTGAAAGGTCGTTGCACTATATGGAAATCGAAAGTATATCCATCATTACAACGTCGCTCTAATCTAAGTTATATCTATTACTTATATACATATCTTAATTTTAAAGTCACGTGCAAAATAATGTTATGTGTTAAACATTATAATTCTTATCGCTTATGTGCATATAGACGTATCATACACATTTTTTTAACTTCTAATTAACTATTACTGCGATAAAGTATTTTGTGTTTATTATGTATTACACGTGACTATGCATATCAATCTACCGAATTTAACATAACGATAGGACGAGTTCAAAGTTCTTCAATGCACAAAAAATACTCTTTTGTATATTGTTAAATATATTCATTAATTGTCCTCTGCATAAGAGACGATTACGCAAATTACATATAAGTAGAGAGTACAGTAGTTTTTGCCTAAAAGAGTAACAAACATCCATCCATTATTATAAATTTTCGTATGTACTATATTAACCCTGTGTCTTATTATATATAAAACTTATTATATATAAAACTTATTATTATAAGAAAATAGGCATTATTACTGGAATTAATATAAGTGTATATTAGGAAAAAAACTGAACGATTCCTGATTCAAGGCATTCAAGAAGAGTACAACAACTAAATTTCAATTTTCCTCCCATGTTTAAAATAATACCAAAGATTAAGTAGATTTTTATCCACAGTGTAGATTTTTACAGAAGTAATTGTTACTTAATACTAATAATAATATTTGCTATCGCTCAATAAATCTGATGGCACTCTGGCTTGAAGGACCATGTGTGGGTCCATTTGCTAGTTCAGAACTTGATTCCCGTATTATAATAGTTGAATTATATCCAATATAAAACTGGTTTAGTTAGTAAACATTTTTACTTTTTGAACGTTACGAGCACACTAGTTATAATACTTTGTTTCGATTTAGTTTACAGTTTGAAATTGATAAAATGGAAATTATATGCTATTCGGTGATGATTTGAAATGTATTAATTGTGATGTATATTTTTTGCATAAGTTATAACTAATAAACTTAGATTATATAGATAGAGTATCGAGCCTCAAAAACGGGTCAACTTTTTGTTAGCTAATTGTCAAATTAGCTGACTCGTTTTTTTTTTCATTAATATTCTATATACTTACGCACACAATGGATCTTGACGTATCTATATTTAATTACTTAATAAATAAAATTATTTGCGCATGAAAAAGATATAAAAATTATAAGATAAAATAAATATAGAAATTATAAAGGAATCACTTTTTATCACGCAAAATTGTATGAAAAAGACCCGCTTTTCTTGAAGCATTTGTATGGAGCCATATTATCTATTTTTATAATCTAAGCTAATAAAATGCTGAGCTGTACAGTTGGTTATATCTGTACACACAGACTTATAAGTACAGAAGTGGGTTACCTCATAAGAATAAATGAATAAAAATTCTGCAGTTTCCTTAAGGAAGGAAACAATTACATGTTATAAAATACCAGCTTTTGTCCACACAGGCGTGAACAGGTCTCCAGGTATACACAGGCGGGGCACCAGTGAGGAATGGCAGGTGAGAATGAAAAGGCAGATCAGTTACCACATTGTGATTAATATATCTAGGCTTCAGCACAATGGTTTCTAGGGGGACCACGTGGAGGTCCACCTAACGGGCACATTGCTAGCAATGGGATTGATAGTCCGCATTACTAGCAATGCCTCCCCCCAGGTAATTTTGGTTTGTAGGCGACGAGACAGATGGAGAAAATGGGTTTAAGACAGGCAAATCTATGACTGTATTAGTTTTCATGATAGATTAACACTATTGTTGATTGTGAGTGATGCTTCCAAATGGGGTATGTATATTTCTTTCCTGTGCACCTCACATTCCCTTGTATTATCTGATCCAAATTTTTCGATTCAGCAACTACCAATTATTGGAAATTAATAAAAAAAAAATTAATAAATAAAAAAATTCATATAACTAAAATATTTTAAGGGCCACCGTTTTTTATTTTTGATGTAATTAAAATACTTTTATTTTTAAAATATATATCCCAAAGAGGGTTGACCTCAGGCAGGCGGCCGGTCGTAAAACTATAAGCTAAATCTTTGTGTAATATGGATAAAAAACATATATTACGCCGACCCCAAATAATAATTGGGATAAGGGTAGGCAGGTGATGATGATATAAACATAGTATATACGAAATGATGATGTTGACACTACGTCTGCGTTCTCTAAAGGTTGGGTCTTTCTAAAGTTGTGGCAAACGAGCTGTAGAGTAATAGTAATAAAAGATTTTTAGATTTAACTTTCTGAATTCTTTTGCGACATTATCTTGGCATTTTGTTATTAATACATTATTAATCTATAATATGAATCGTAATTTGACATATTTAATTATTATGATGTTATCAAAAATCACAATTATAATAACAAATTAAATGAAATCAATGGAATGATATCTGTAGTTAATAATTATGATTATTATTGAACAATAAACTAATCCTATATATGTATTATTTTATTTGTATATTGGTATCATTGCAATAAATAAAGATGAAAGTCTGAATTTTATCAACTCAGCACAAAGATAGATTTAGGCAAAAAAATTAAACTGCAGTTTCTTTATCTACAATTACCAAAATGCCATTGCATTAATTATTTATTGATACTGTTACGATGCATAAGTTTTTAAAAAACACATACTCCAAATATGTTCTTTCGATTTATTTTCGACATAGTTCTAGAAAGGCGCATTGACTTTGAGCAGCAAATATACATAGTTAATATATATATAATATGTGTATGTATGTATATGTATTTGTATATGTGTTAATATGTATATATATATGTATATGTGTGTGTAGGTGTATGTATATAAATATAATAATGAGTAGGGATAATATTTATATTATTATATGTATCACATCTCCCATATTTAGAACTAACAAAATTTTTCATCGTGCCTCCCACCAAATTGTTTATAATTACTCCTCTCCATCCAAAGGTTGCCTGAAAGAGATCGCTCTTAGCGATAAGGTCGCCCATTGTTTTCTCATTGTGATTATTTCTTGTAATTATTTATATTTATTATAAGTTTACTATTGTAATCTTTTGGAAGAAACAATAAAGAGTATCTATATATATATATATATATATATATATATATATATATATATATATATATATATATATATATATATATATATATATATATATATATACACGTGTATAGGGGATTTTTTTTATTTCGGATGTATCAATATCTCCTATATAAATTAAAATCAGCTACTGAACAGATATTTTAGTGATCTAATTTTGAAATTTTGAGTATGTTTTGGACTCCATAATAAAAAAATTGCAAATTCCATTGCGGACGAGTGATATGTAATCTATTCCAGTCTTCAACTCCTTAACATTAGTAGTTGCTGAGATATAACGCTGTGACAGACGGACGGACAGATGGACGACTATGAAATATCTGGATATGTTGTATGAAATTCAAGCTATCCCGTAAATGTGAACAGGCCTTTGACCCCTTTGAAGAAGCTGGTTCTGTGGCGCTCCTGCCCATCGGTGAGAATCTCATCTGTCCGCGTGTGAACTTATAAACACTCTTTCTTAGTCATCTACCATACCAAAATCATATCTTACATTCCCAGGCAAATAATTGTAGTTATTTCTTGGTAAATTGGTTCAATGGGTCAACAGATCAAAATGTTCTTATAGTAGGCATTAGTCTATTATAACTTTATAGGACCGCTACTTGATCTTTTCGCCTTATTGTTATAGTGCGTTTATGAATAATACTTTTTACAGATTTACTATATGATAGGTTTACAGATCATCTTTATGTAACGTCACTATTGAACAGTTATTGCAGAATTATAGTGCATTTATAAATGAAGATTTTTATAATGACGTTATTTCTTGTTATAGAGAACTAATAAAGGGTTGATAATTTTTAAAAATAAGACAGTTTGTACTATTAATTGACCAGACAAATGTTTTGACTCCTTCCTGGACTATTTTTTATCTAGTCTATTTATTATTTATATATTTATTAAAGTTGGAACAAACAATATACATTTAAAAAAAATTAATAAAACCAATTCAGCAATTTCGAAGATTAGCGTGCTCTACGTGTTCTACCGCTCATACAACGGATTGTGCTCAGAGGAATTATTCAATATGATGCCTACGGCCACTTTCATTCATCGTACGGCTCGCCATCGACAGGGAGTTCACCCTCATACCTTACAGTCTAAATGGTCGCGTACAACGCGGTTTCAGAGATGCTTTCTCCCACGAACACTCAGGTTATGGAATGAGCTCCCTGCCGAGGTTTTCCCAAGAGACTACAGCATGGGGTTCTTCAAAAGGGGGTAAAGAGGTTTCTTCAGGGTCGGCAACGCGCGCGTAATACCTCTGGTATTGCAGGCGTTTATAGGCTAGGGTAACCGCTTACCATCAGGTTGGCCATATGCTTGTTTGCCACCTCAGTGGTATAAAAAAAAAAGAACGAACATTGTGACACGGGACTTATATATACTAAGGAATTAAGAAAATATAATACATAAGAAATAATGCTTACATATAAATTTATTCTCTTGCGTGTTTTCTGGTTCGGCCAACAGTAGTGCCGGTGTATCGCCAGTCACTCTAACGCTTTTAGCTTCGTTCACTACTCGGCCACCTGCCGCTTCAAGTATATCCTATAATTAATTAAATATTACAAAATACAATACGAGTAGCATTATCAAAACCATACTTGAGAATAAAGTTTCTAACAAAAAGATTTTCTCCTTAAAAAAGTAACTACAATCGTGAGACATTTAATATAGATTACATTGATCTCATTGTTTACTTATTTACTTTTTATTGCACCACTTAAAGAATAATACAAAGATAAAATTATATTACACTTATGGAGTACAAAAGGGAGTCTTATAGCTAAAGCTATCTCTTCCAGACAACCTTTGGGAAGAAAAAAGATAGTAGCTATTTGACGCAAGAAATGTAATTAATATGTATTATTTTTAAACAAATAAAATGCATCATTGAACAAGATATTTAATAAACACGTTATTTTTTTTTTTTTTATTTAGAATGATGACTCGTGTGTCAACAAATAACTTAACTAATGCTAAACTGGACTTAATAATAAGTTTAACTTTTCTATTAAAAGATAATAAATTCACCTTTAATGTATTAACATCAAGTATGCTAAATGGTGGCATACAATAAAATATCATTCCCTCAAATAATTTTTTCTTCGCAAGCCGGGAACGCTTTGGTCCAGGTTCTCCAGTTCCGTCAAGCGCTTCATACTGTTCCTACACAAAAATACATTATTTATTTGAATGTCTATGCATACCATGAAAAGACCTAAGCAATATTGCTTTATATTGCATTGCGTTGAGAGTAAGAGACTTAAGAGACTCTATTCTTGCTAATAGATCACTAAAAGCAAAAAACACAACAATTGCAGTTAAATTTTATAGTAGATGGCTTTAGTATGAGCGTATTTATGTGAATACCTATAATAGGCATGTGCATTAATATTGTATTGTATTTAATGTTGTTATACCTATATGTTATAATGCAATATGCTGTTGGTGTTCCTTAAATAAATAAATAAATAAATAAATAAATATTTAATATTAACATGGCTAGTGGTTTCTGTAATTAATAACATTTGATGAAATTACCGAATACAGATACCTCTGTACATACCATAGTCCTCAAGAATGTCAATGCATGAGGGGTATCATGGATATCACAGATTATTCTGTGACGCCCACAGTGCTGTTCATGTTTTTAGGCGAAGGTTACCTCGTTCCATTAGGTGGGACATCAGCTTGTTTATCATTTTAAACTTAATAAAAAAATTCAAAAATGGCAACAATTAAGAGGTATCAGAGATATCTTAGAGTATATTCTATGATGTCCAAGGTGCTTTTCAAATTTATAAGCGACGGTTGCTAATTTTCATGAGGTGGGTCTTTTTTTTTTGGTGGCTGAAAATGACATGGTAACCCCGCCTGCGCTAATGGGATACGCTGGCGGGGCACCAGTGAAGGGTGATAGATGAGAATGAAAACAGGCCAGTTAGCCCATCATGATGAATTCACCAGGAATTAACCATTATAGTTTCCAGGGAGAACCGCGAGGAGGTCGACCTGGTTGGGTATATTGCTAGCAATGGGATTCTCAGTCTCCATTACTTACAATCCCTTTCCCCCCTCATGAGGTGGGTCATCGCTTGATTGGTATTCTATGTTTTTTTTTATACCACTGTCATTCTCTCTCACTCATCTAATGGTAGTGGGTACTGTAGTCTATGAATGCTTGCAATATCAGAAGTATCGCTTGCGAGTGGCTAACCCGGAAGAAACCTCTAAGTATTCTTTATAAAACCCTATACTGTAATCTCAAATTGTATAAAATATAAGCTGTAATTTCATTTGTTCTTAACTAATGATGGCTAATAAGTATTTTGATTAACCACCTACCTCTTTAACAATTTTATTATTTTTTAAACAGCTGTCGACCCACTGGAATGAAACAATCCACTTAGATGCCGCTAAAGCGCACATGTACTTAACCGATCTGTAATATTTAACAACATATTATTATTATACTGTGACAATAACTGCTTATTTCATATAATTTCAGTAACGTGTAGCGAGTGTCATACGGGAAGCAACCATTTATCCATCAAGGTGGCAATTGTACAATTCTTATTTCCTGTATGGATCCTAAAATATCTCAAAATATGAAAACGAAGACCTTTAACTAGATCACATTTAACATGTTTAGCATTGGACAGATATCTGCTGATATGACGATCATGTGGACCACTATATATAGTCCATATAGATAGGCTAGGCCTATAGTGGCAAAAATGAGGAATGGTAAAATTGAGACTGAGAATAGCTGAAGGTTAAAAGTGTAAGTGTTATGTATATGAAAACAGTGATTGTGATTTTTAAGATAAATGAAATAAAAAACATTACTTCTATAAAAAATATTACCTTTGTGACCGGTTTTCTTCATCGACTCCAACAACTAAATGAGTCAAATCTTTAATATATTTATCTGTATACTTCCAATTGTATTGGCGACATAACAGTTTTACCTTAGCCAATTCAACAGGACTCAAACATGATCCAGCCAAACAATTGTCTATATTATTCACTTTAAAATTTCTTGATACCAATGGTTTCCTTATTGGCGTTTGGGGGGTCTCTTCGAAAGCTTTAACTAAAAATTCTTTTTCTTGCGTAGTTTTTGCTACTGGTTCAGTAGTTGGACATAAAGTCTGGTCTATATCATCAATGTTTTCCGCTTCAAAATTAAGTGATTTTCTTGCTACGGGAGTAGACTTATGTGTTATGTGATCAACAAATCTATTAATTGTAAGAGGTGTCTCCAATGTGGTTTTTCTTGGAAGAGCTTCAATGACAGTCAAATCTTTAGTATCTTTAGATGCATTTGGCACAGAATCGGATACATCAACGATACTTTCTATCACTTGTTTTTGTGAATGCGATGTGCATTTGTTTTTACTGTTATTAATCTTCTCCGCTTCGTCATGAGTCAAATCCTTTTTATTTTTCGGTTTTGTAAAAGATACATTTCTGGAATAGTCCATAAAATATCTAAATTTGTAATAGTACATGTACAAAACGACAATAACCTCCTAAAAGGAGAAGATTATTAGATTGATAGATATATAATTTATTTGCATACTTACAATACACAAATAACAACAGATATAGATATAAAATATGCAAAAAAGAATTCATAAACAAAAAAAAATTCTAAAAAATTATTTAAATTATTTGTAACAATTTTGTATTACGATGCTATGTATTTTAGAATTTAGATTTTTCACGACATTATATTTACGAAATATACTCATCCACGCTTTTTGTAATACCAATTGTACCCAACTTTGCCCATTTTTTTACCAGCCTTCGTATTGTGAGGTTGAATAACTTATAACCTTCCTCAAGAAATGAGTTCTTAAATGCAAAAAGATTTTTTTAAATCAGATTATACTTTCAGAGATTAGCGTGTTCAAACAAACAGATATACTTTTCCTCTATTAATAAACTAGCGACCATCTCCACATCGCACAGTTTTTCTTTAAATTTCAAAATATGCACTTATTGTATTACATATATATATAAATCGTCCTTTTGAATCAATCTGTCTATTGATGAAAACTGCATTAGAATCCGTTGAGTAATTCGAAAGTGAATAGACAGCGGGAAGCAACTCTTTTAAACTATGTGGAGATAAATAAGTTCCACACAAAATTTATTATTATTATAGTATAATTATTAGTCTTTATGATCCTGGTACATAATATAAAAATAATCAATGTCGTTCTCCATCCCAAATAGTATGTGTATGCCAAATATTGCTGTCTGATTGAATTAAAGCGTCAAGAGGTGGCAAACAAAGAAATGAACAAACTCACTTTCTGACTTATAATATTAGTAAATGTAATATTAGTAAATATACTTGTAATTTATAAAAGTTATTTACTTTTGTGGTGTTTCTTCTACTATACTTTTGTCGGAATCGTCGTCGTTGGCGTCTTGTACAGGTGTACATAATTTTTTGTCCACATTCTCAACTTCATTTGTGTCTGCTAAATTTTGACATAATCCCGGCGTTAATAAGTTTTCTATGTGTTGTTGAGTAGAACTGGGAATCTGAAACGCATAAATATATTTTTAAGAATATACAAAGTTCCAAAACAAACTAATAATTGTGATAATATAAATAAATAAGTAGCTTAGAATCTGAGAAATTATTTTAACTGTAATATATTTTAATAAGGTGAACAGGTAAGTAAAAGAAATATTTATTATTTTGTTTTATAGATATATGACAGTAACGTACTGATTTGAGTGTAACAAAGTGTGAGTGGGAGGATTCATATGACGAATTTAAGCACTTAATCTAAAATAATTAAAGATTGTGTTCCACAAACAAAAGGACTTCAATTGTGGTAAAACTAGTTATTATTATTTTATATAAATGACTCCGGGTTCAATTCTCGATTGGACATACGCATATTTATTGTCTCTAATTGTTTTAAGTATGAAATATAATAGACAAACAATATTTGAGAATGAAAACCTCCTTCTTTTTGAGGTTGGTTGAAAAGTTTTTAATTCACCAGCATATTATGGAAGACTAGTTGATAATTTGTCTATATATAGTACAATTGTTGGTTGCTTACATATTCGATGGTAATAATAAATATCGGGCACGTCACACAGAAAAATACTTATTTACTTATTCTTTGTAGATTACTGTTACTATTCACTAGTATAATTTTTATATTAAAAAGGTTTTTTAAGTCACCGTCTACAAATGCATAACACTTTAGTTCTCAATAATAGCAATGGTGCCATGGATGTCACTGTGTATTTTGGGATGTACATAGTACTGTTTATGTCTATATGTGTCATAGTTGCCATTTTTAATAAGGTGGGCCAACATATTATCTTGATGAGTTGTCAAAGTGGTTAATTATAAAAAATGTTAATGCTACGCAGTGGTAGTTGATTTCGTATTTTAAATAACTCTCGATTTCAATAAAAAATAAAATTAACTAATACGAGTACTAGTTAATTATCATCTTTATACGTCGTAAATATTGTACTCACTATTCTTCTCTGATATCGACGTCAAATGGAGTGCAAGATTTGATAAAGCAATATATTCTATTTTGCTAACAACAAGGCTGCCCTCTTTTTGTTAGCAATATGTCCTGTCAGATCGACCCCACGCTTCTCCGATGCAGTTTGCAGGGAAACCATTGTGATTAATTCTTTTTTAATTTGTCTCTATGGGATAACTGAACTGTCTTCATCCTCACCTGTCATTATTCATTGGTATTCTGATAGTGCAAGTGGAGTTAAAAATTCATCATCATCCCTTACAAAAAAAGTATGGTTGAACACCATTACCATTGAAAAGGTTCAAGTAGTATGTAACGCAATTGAGGAGGGTGAGAGGAGGGTGTTGGATACTGTTACGAGGGGCGAAACGTAATACGTTTTCCGTAACTTTTTTTTAAACAAACTAGGGAAATAAAATCTCATAAGTTGGTAACATTAAAATCTCCCCGACTTCTTTTATGTTTTACGGGGAATCCCTCGTATTGTACGTAATTTTTATTCACTTTTCTTTATCAATATTCGTTAGTGGTGCGACTTTTAAGTAAAAAAATGATCACTTGGGTGTTACGTTACCTTTAGGGACAGGAAGGGGGAGTACAGAAAAATGTTACGGCGCATCACATGGGGGAGGGAGGGTAAAAATCAATCAATCAATAAAGGGTAATACTTGAACGTTCCCATTAGTGCAATTGTTGAAAAAACAATTAAATGACACATCTAAAAATTTTGCACTCAATAATATAATAAAATAGTTATGTACATTCAATAACTAACTTACTTGATTTTTGGGTTTGTCTAAAGTTTTCACTTCATTTTCTTTTTCCAGGAAAGAAAACACATTTTCACTGAATTTTTCATTACTTAATGTAATCTCATGTATAGATGTTTCCAAATCTTTTTTTCTATCTTCTGATAAAGAAATGAATTTTGTATTTTTTTCAGTTTCATTTACATTTTTGCTTTTCTGAGTATCTTTAATGTCTGCATCTATACTAGAAAATACTTGACCCATGACGATATCATAATCCATAGCTTCAATATTAAGTTCATTATTCTCTTGTGTTTTAATATTATCATCTACATTATCTATCAATTTTATTTTTTTACTGTTTGGCAAAAACAATTCATCATTCACTTCTCTGGCTCTTTTATCAATATGTTTTTGGGTTCTTATTTTGTTACTTTTTATTGTAGGTACTAATATTTCAGAAGGTGTATGTTTTGTACTTTTCAATAATTGTACATTGGCTTCTTTTATAGAATTACTATCAAATATATCTAATTCATTATAGTCATCTTCCTCCAAACATGGTTCTATAATAGTTGACTTTATATTTGAAATAGTGTTTTTCAAAGTAGTTATAGGCTCTGCAGTAATATTATCCATACCTCGTTTTTTTAGACATGAATCAATTGGATCGCATTCCATGATATTGGACATCTCCTTTTCCACACTTTCAGTAATTTCAAATTGAGCTGTTTTAGTATCAGCTGATGCAGTATTTTTCTTAGTAGAAAGAGATTTATTCATAATATTACTTGCATTTTCAGAACAGTTTTCCGAATTATTTTTTTGTGTGTTTCCACTAACAACTGACACTTCCTTTTCATACCCTATGTTAACTTCTATATTGTTATCGTTCATATTATTAGGAGAGACATTATTATTCTTAGATAAAGTATGCAGGCCTAATGTTGTCTGAATTTCTTTATCTGTGTGTAAACTATATTCCATATTATTTTTCTTCTTCTTTATAAAAATATTTGTTATAGTGTTACCTATTTTAATTGTAATCTCAATATCATCCATATTCCCTTCAGTATTGCAATGAACATCATAATTAGTAGTCTTCATATTATTTTCAACTGTTTTAGGTTGTAATGAGCTTTTTTTCAAGAAAGACAGTTTTGGATGATCTATGGATAAATTAGCTTTTGACTTTTCTGAAGATTGCTTTACTCTATTAACATTCTCATTATCACAATTTTTATCAATTTCTAAAACTTTAGATGTATCAAGAGAGGATACATTCTTTTCTAAACGCATATTGTTTGAATAATTTTTGTCACTAATGGGAACACTTTTTCCTACATAAGATGTAGATTGTTCAATTTTATTTGTTGCTTTCTCTGTAATTTGCTGATCTAATTTATTAATTAAATCAGGAGTGGTATCTCCAATAATATTATCATAATTTTGAGAAACTACATCTGTTGTAGTTATTACTGGCTTAGATATTGTCTTGGTTGTCAATTGACTTTTTTTACACATTTCTATTGAAACATTTAATTTATTTCTATTCTTTTTGTTTAATTTACTGAACTCTTTGCGCATTTTTTTAACATTCCCCCAATTTCGTTTATTATTATTTGATTTAATTTCTGTTTCTAAGCTTGAATTTTTAGAACTGTGTTTATCTGTTGATATATCGTAATTTTTTAAACTAGGCTCACTGTTTTTAATTTCTTTTTTTCTACAACTTCTTCGTGGATTAAATGTTGTGTACTCATCTTTATCATTCAAACTATGTTCATCTATAGGATCATGACTGTTATTATTTTCATTTGATACGGGTAATATTTCAATTTTTTCCCAATCATCTTGTGGAGGTTGTTTATGGATTATTTTTTTTGGAGTAGCAGTTTTTTTTGTGTCTGCATGTATTAGGACTTTACTTGTTAATTGTTCTACTATTATCTTATCTTGAGTAGAATGCTCTGAACTAAGCAATGGTGCTGAAAAGTGATTTTGAGAGCTGTCTAACCAATTCTTGACATTTTTTGTAGGATCATCTTTAGAACATAGTTCATTATCTTGTACATCTAGTATAAATTCATCTACTGCAAATACAATAACAAAGTAAAATAATTATAAAATAAGAATTCTTGTCAAATATTTTATTAATCATTTATATTTTTAAAAATGTATAATTTACTTACATTTAACATTAAAAAGTTTCTCAAAAACCTCAATAACGGTATGTATATGTTCAGTTTTATTCTGAACTGGTATATTAAGCTTTAATGTTCTTCTTTCTAATGGAGCTGCACAACTAGGACAGGATCTGCATTTTTTCCAACATGTATGGCAAAATGTATGTCCACAGTTTGCAGTTTCTGGAGCAATATAAAATCTGTAACTAATTATATTTAAATAATTAGTAATAACTTCCATTACAGTAGTCCAATGTTATGCATATTAAAATTAATATTTTATATATATCTGATATGAATAAACATATCAACATAAATTGTATATATGTATATGAGTAATTTTCAGTGCATTGTCAAGTACTGTTTTTGATGTCTTTTTCCTTCACCATGTTATTTTACACAAGGTATAGACATATTTAAGAATGGGGGTGAGGAAGAGAAGGGACTTGTCAACCCCAGAATCATCTAATGTTCATCCCAAGATGTGTAAAAAGATTTTAAGTATTTACAATGACATATTGTTGAGAATATATTTACACCTAAGGGTTCAGGTGCCTCTAGACAATAATCTTAAATATACCAAGATTATAAGAAAATATTTTGTCTAAAGGTAGAAGGAAGGAAGGTGTTCAAGTAGTTTTTATGTATTATGTTGATCTGTGGAGCCCACACGTTGCTAAAATAGAGTTGCTACTTCTGTTACTCTTAATCTAAAATTAAATAAAATATAATACACTATATAGATTTCCCTTATTTTATTTCATCAGAAGGAATATCTACTAGTGACATAATTGATAGCAAGCAAACCTCACTTGCATTGTGAGGTTTGTGCTTTCATATAATATTTCATGAGATAACAAGAACCCAAAATATTATATAGAATAAAATAAAATAATTTTAAATTTGGTTTACAATCCAAACTCATCATTACTCATTTTGGTTTATAAAAAATACTACTTGTAAAATAATAATAGGGAGTGCAATCCATAAGTGGTCAAATAAAATGTAGTAAGTTGAAGACAAAGAAATTAAAACTGACTGTGTAATGCAAAGTTTGAAATGATGCACTTGTTGTAGTATGGAAGCAAAAAAATAGTATAAATAACTAAGTATTACCACTCCCCGCACTCACTTTTTAACTAAAATCTGTCAAAGTAAATAGATAAGTAGTAAATCTCATATACGTACCATTCAAGACATGTAACTTGGTCAATAAATGAGGAAATTAATTTTGATATGTGTCCTAAGTCTAGTCCTTGTAGAGACATCGCAATCTGATGAAATTAAATATCTTAGTACATTTGAAATATGACTGCAGTTTTATTTGTATATATTTTTGGATAAAACGCCTATACTGTATTATATTTAGATTCACAATTATTTTGAAGAAAAGAAAATTAACCATTAAATTAATCCCGCTTTTTTCCAAAACAAAGTTCTTCCATAGTTACTGTCAGTGTCAAAAGTGACACTTGATAGGCTTAACTGGTGCTTTAGCAGGACAGGAAATAAGATTGATAGTTTTTAAAAAGTTACTTATATAGACGGTCAAGAATTACACTTTATACTTATATTTATTTGGTACTTTTTGTTATCTGTTATGAAAAGTATTCATAATGGAGGCAAAATTGGCGGGAAAGGTGAACATTTAGTTTAAATTGATAAGCTGTAGTTTGAATATATATAAATACGTGCTGCGACTACGTACACGTACGTGTGGTCTAGGATGAGCAGCAGCGTCCCTCTTAAAACATTTTTAAAACCTGCAGTTGCCAATCCGCCTGTCAAGCGTAGCAAATACCCTCTCGCGGGGGAGGGGGAGGCTTATGTTTTGCTGTGGGCAGTTAAAAGATGATATGCTGATAATGATGACGATAGTATACCCTTATTACTGTCAATAACTCAAAAAGTTTAGAAAACAATTCATTCTATTTAAAAAAAATGATACATAGCGTAATAAAAAGAAAGAAGTGTTTTTATTTGACTCAAGATTCATTTAAATCGAATGTGTTTTAGAAATTAATAACCTCTATTTTAGACATTATTCACCTGCTATCGTCATCGTGTAGCTATTGCCATTATGCATAATACCCTATGACGAATTGAGTTGTAGTGGAGCAACTCGATTCGGCTAATATCGTAATCAACAAAATATGTACTGATATGTGCGCATCGGTTACTGAATCGGTCGCATGCATCAGTGTATTGCGTTAAGTGTGATATTGGATATAAATAAGGGTATAAAATAATATGAAGTCTCAGCCATACGACGGTATCAAAGCAATACATTTAATTGCTTGTAGCAGATATCTAATATATAGTTTGCTTGTCTGGTCTAAATATAGATTTATAATTTTTGATCAATATACATATATTGCAACTGTAAACAGATTATATTACCTAAGTCTATTTATGACGAAACCTGCAGTTCTACCCTAAGAACAAGAAATTACAAAATTTTTGGTTCTAACAGATATAATGTGCAATGATAGTAATGGTTAGAACGAGATATGATTATAAATATAATATGGAAATGTGAGCAAGATCGGATTTCTTTTCTTGCATATGTACACTTTTATTTTTAGATGGCCCAATTTATTTCGCACGTTAAAAGTTTAGCATACGGTCATAGTACATTTTTCTGGCATTCTCTTTCTATAGAAAATTTAATTTGCATTTGACAGCACTGACATTTGATAGATTAATGCAATTTAATAACTTTTTATTGTGAGATTTCGGTTCGGTTGTCTCTGTTTTTTCTATTAATGGTTGTACTCTGTGCAAGGATTTTCGGAGCAAATTTTCAGCCACAGTTTTCAGCTATTTTCGAATAGTTTCTAAATTTTGTATATTTGTTGTGAATTAATTATAATATAATGTAAGTTTTAAAATTAAGGTTCAATTGTAATTTTTATTTATTGTCTTTTAATCTATTTTCTTTTTCTGACATTCGTTACATAATTCAATATCTTATAGAAAAATTTCAAGTTATTTATCGAGAGATAAATTTTTAAATTTTTGTATTTCAAGAGTTACTAAGATCTTATTTAAAAAATTTAAGTTTGTTTTTGACTTATGACAATTCTTAATTTTTTCTTTAAATAATTTAATTTGAATACTGAGTAAGTTGAGGTTAAGTAGGAGGTTGTCGATAATAATCGAGCAAAATAGTAGATACTTTTTAAAGTATACAGTTTTATACATATCTCACGAAATTCTAGAACGCTTGTACGAATCAGTGTGCTTTGTTTGTAACTAAAATAAGAGACATATTCTTGTATTTTGCACTTGTAGACTAATTACTACTATTTACTACTGTAATCTTTTGGAGGGGATAATAAAGAGTACCTCTGTGTCTATCTTTAACAGATAATTATTTTAGCCATTATTATTAAAGTAATAGTTATTTACTAGGCATATGTAAAGACAATTTAAAATTAACTCACCACTTTTCCATTTTATTAAGATAAAAGAGTAATAATTTATATCTTTGTAGACCAACATCTCTAACATAAGTATGACTTGATAATTATTAACCAGAAATTCATGATCCCTAAGTCTTATATCAGAGTTATAAAAGTGTATCTATTTTTGTTTTAGAATGGCAATGGCTTTTCGCAACATGTTAAGGAATGTGTCGAGGAGGATCCAAGTTCGAAATTATGCTGATGCCCCCAGAGGTGACGAAATGGCCCTTACATTTGCTGCTGGTAACAAGGTATTAAAATTATAATGAATTAGCTTTTGGTTAAAACTTTGTAATTGGTTCGCCTAATAAAATGTGGTAACCATTACCTACAGACAGAACAGCATCATGGACATCCCAGACTATAATATGGTGTCTATTATACTCTCCATGTATTGCCATTTCTAAGGACTACGGTGTTATTTTTCTGTCTGTAATTCACAATACCAGTATGGCTGCTTCACAATAGAAACAAAGTCATAAGTGTGTGGTATAAACAAAAAGTAATAAGTATGTGGTTCTTTGTAATATGCTTAATGCTTAAGCTCAAATTTGAGGATTGAGTTCTAAGTATCAAGTTCTTAAGCTGTTCTTGTTCCTACTTGACACTCATGTTGGAGTTTCTGGTTTCCTTAGATTTCATAGATTTTGTGTTATTGTTAATATTTTATTTTGTGATCAAATATTATTTGTATATGTTAAAAATATCTATATAAAGACAAAATCCAATTTATAATTGTAATTATGTTTATGCAAATAAATGTATGATTGATTGTTACAGGTCTTCTATGACAAGCAAGTTGTGAAACAAATTGATGTGCCATCATTCAGTGGGTCTTTTGGTATTCTACCAAAGCATGTACCAACACTTGGTAAGTAAATGAAACCTAAAGCTTGCTATAGCTAAGTGACTCTTAAGAGACAATAAATTGTAGCAAAATATATAATATTGGTTGCAGCAGTACCTAGTAGGTCTACAGTTTGTAAAATTATACCTGCAATATATAATATCATTTACAATTATATTTTTATTTTCCATTTTAAAAATTTTTTTTATTATAATTTTATTTGTTAGAGCTAACAAAGCTCATGCAAATTTAGTAAAAATGATATAGAAAGTACTTGCTTCTTTTTTCACCTTTAAATAAAAAAAAAATTACAAACCATTACATTACTACTTACTTTATAAAAAAACATTTTTTATTTGATTATAGAAAATTGTCATAGTTTTTAAATATCTGGTGTCCAGCTGAATAGTAAATTTGCAACAGGCTGGATATGGATAGTCATCAAATATCTGTTTTATCTTTAGAAACTACTACTATTTTATAAATGCCAGTTAGGTATTCATGTTTAAACACTGATTACAGTATTTGAACACATGAAATATCTCTGGTTATTGTAGTGTTATAACATTATTTTTAATTTCCATAGCTGTACTTCGCCCTGGTGTTGTCACTGTGATTGAAAATGATGGAAAACAAAACAGGATTTTTGTTTCTTCTGGAACTATCACTGTAAATGATGATTCTTCTGTCCAGGTAACCTAATTTTGCTTTTATTTTTTTTTATTTATATGAAGAAAAAATTTCTTTAATAATAATAATGTTGACTAAAAAATTGCTGCTCTGATTTCACTGTTTTTAATATAACTTTTTGATGGAACTTCATTTTTAATTTTTTTTTATGTATATTGTTGTTATATTCATCGGATTACATAATAACACTTTAACAAGGTTTGTTTTTAATTCATCTGCATTTATGTGTGAACACAATACTTCCACTAAGTTTGGTACATTTTTTTAAATCAGTAGGATTTACGCCCTAGCTTAATACTAGGTATTTTCCGCGGCTTCGTCCAAGTGTGTTAGTAAGTACATACATTATTCTATGTGTTAAATTAGGATATAACTTACCCGAAATCTCATTAAAATTCGTTTAGTAGTTTATGCGTAAAAGAATCATCCATCCATTCATCATTTTAATCAAACAATCGTTACAAAGTTTCACCTTATGATATTAATATTATATAAAGCGGAAGCATTAAGCAGATTTGAAAGTTTTTTTTTTTATTTGTTAGCCTATTTCTTGAGGAAGGTCACATAGGCTATTCAACAATAATTTAATTCATCTGCATTTATGTGTGAACACAATACTTCCACTAAGTTTGGTACATTTTTTTAAATCAGTAGGATTTACGCCCTAGCTTAATACTAGGTATTTTCCGCGGCTTCGTCCAAGTGTGTTAGTAAGTACATACATTATTCTATGTGTTAAATTAGGATATAACTTACCCGAAATCTCATTAAAATTCGTTTAGTAGTTTATGCGTAAAAGAATCATCCATCCATTCATCATTTTAATCAAACAATCGTTACAAAGTTTCACCTTATGATATTAATATTATATAAAGCGGAAGCATTAAGCAGATTTGAAAGTTTTTTTTTTTATTTGTTAGCCTATTTCTTGAGGAAGGTCACATAGGCTATTCAACATCACGGATACGACTCTAGGCGTAATTGATATAGCTAATAGTCCGATATTTTGTGGAGTAAAATCTATAGTCTGAGTTGGCAATACTTGCCCGAGACGTTTTGTTCTTCCGGCGGCTAATAATCTAACAATCAGCTAATTTATACAATTGAAAATAATATATAGGCACGGGTGATTTACTTCAAGTATTGAAACTTTCAAGAAAAGAGTATATTCCTTCTTAAAAGGCCGACATCACACCTACAATTTCTCTGATATTGCGAGTACCTATGGGCAGCGGTACTCACCTACCATCAGGTGAGCCGCATGCCCGTTTACCCCTATACAATAAAAAAACATTATTTTTATGTATAATTTTATTACTAGGTATTGGCAGAGGAAGCTCATCCCTTAGAAAATTTGGATCGCAGTGCTGCACAGGAAGCCCTTAGCAAAGCCCAATCTCAACTCAGTTCTGCAGCTAATGATAAGGTTTGTTATAATTTTTATTTTTGCCATTTATTCTTTATATCCAATCCTTCAAGTAAAGTGTAATAAAACGCTTTATGAAACCATCCAACTAGCCAATAATGGGCTAAACTTTTAAAAGTATAAAAAAAATCACTGACCGCGATTGTTGTTACTGCACTTGCTTTTAATGCACACAACAGATTTTTAAGTTATTCATATTGTAACTGTAAACAACTTTGTAGTGCCATCTTGGGTAGTTCACTAATCTTAGGATTGTGTGTGCGTCTTTCATAATCTTTGTAGCTTCAAGTGCCGAATAGAGAGCCTACTTTGTTTCCTTTATTTCACTTTCAGCGCAATAAATTTCTATTAGCTGGAGAGCACCATGCATTGACGCAACTTTTTCCGTTATCAGGGATTCAATCTTTATACTGTAGGATAAAATCTAATACGATTTCAGAAGAGTTCTTTCGTGAGAAGGTGCAGGTTATAGAATCCAAATGATATGCATTGCATATGATACCTCTAGTGTTGCAGGTATTCATAGGTCATTATGGTAACTGTCTACCATTAGAAGGGTTGTATGCTTGTTTGTCATTTACTATCATTGTGGTATAATAATATGTTTGTATTTCATAATATTCATAATAATTTTGTTATAGGCTAAGGCGGAAGCTGCCATTGCTGTTGAAGTAGCTGAAGAGATAGTGAAGGCGGCGGCGACTGCATAAACTGTCAGCATGTTTGCTAACGACACTTAGTGTTAAAGTTATATTTATTACTTATATCATTTATGTATAAATAAATAATTCTCCCATCTATGTAGCAAAATGTAATTTTATTTTCCTACATCGGTATGTACATAAGTAATTATAGGTTAATTAAATAAAACGAAGATCATGTTGTTGACTCTTGAGTAGTTTATTCAATACAAATCAAACACTTTGGTACAAACAGTTAGTTGCGTTGCGTTGCGTGTCATATGGCAATAAAACTAAAGTTAATATTTGACTATATGCAAAACTTATATTGCCACGAGACTATAAAAACATCATGATAAAAATACGTCAACACAATGCAGCATCTTTATGGTACAATATTCCGTTAATTATTATTCCATAGCTATATTATAATTTTGAATAAAATTCTTATTTAATTTGTTCACATTAATTTTTAACTAATTTCAATTTAATTCAAATTTACTAATTGGAAGGTCATGAGAAGATTTCGGTTGCTAGGAAGTCGCGAGAACCTAACTACAAGCCTACATTGCCAAGCTTACACGACGATGCACAACATATAAGGGAAACATCTAGAAAATCGACACACGCGTGTCTTATACCTAGTCATTTGCATAAATATAGAAGGGTAAAATTACGATTAATAGTATGATTAATAAAAATGCACCTTAGTATTCTAGAGTAATATTAAAAGCATTTAAATTCCGTATCAGTAGTGTTTGTTACATTTTCGATGATGTTCAATTTGTTATTCCTTATACTTTGATTAGGTAACTTTATTGTAATAGTATATCTATCCAGTTCATCCTATTTCATCGCGGCGGTTAAAATAGTTTTTTCCTATTATAGAATAATTTTAAATTTCACATAATTATACTGTAACACATATGTTACTAACTAGCTACTGATTAAATAGTAGGTACTTTTTAAATGTTGATTATTTACTATAAAAGGAAGCTTAATATTAATCTTAATCTAAATAGTATATGCGTAAACGCAAATCAAATAAAACAGTAAAAAATTACATACAAAAAGTATAGAAGGGCAAAAATTCAAAAGCGTTAAGAAAACCATAACATTACTAATTAAAAGGAAGCATTGTCACATCCAAGCCATTGCTGGATCATTTATAAATTACCAATCTACGAGTATAAATAACATTAGTATTACATCACGTAAAAATAAAACTGGATAAAAATACAAAAATATCACATTATTAAATTGTTGAGCTTAATTTAAATCGAAACTAGTGGTACACCCCAATACAAATGACTCATTATCATTTTATTTTTAAATTAAGCTAAACAAATAAGATCAAATAAGGTAAATTATAAAAACTCGCTGTTGAAACAGCACCTGCAGTAACCATGCCAAAGTTGGGTCAATAGCATGCGTATCAATGAAGGTATACAAGTATCATATTTGGATAAATTTGGAGGACGCGTCACATCACTAAAGCAAATATATGTATATCAATTTGAAATAACTACCACAACCATAGTTTTCTGTTTTACATGGTAATATTAGAAGGTGACGCGTTATGGGTATCCCCTACAAGGAAAGTAGAAATTACCCAACATTGGAATTTTACTACAGGCTAGTTGAGCCCAAACCTCATAGTTATGATACGAATATGGCACAACCGTGCCCACGTAAAACTAAAACTAAAAAGAAGAAATCCAGCCAACTAAGTTGGGATAATTTTCAAAAGAAATAGCAACAGAAAATAGCGACACACTAATTAAAATCGCTGATTAAATAATGTTTTGGCACAAGGATCACTATCTTGCTGAACACAATAATTGCAGCTTTTAATAAGGGATGTAACTTAAAGAGCGCGTATAGAAAAATGCTGTCGCTGAATGAAATGGGCCACATTGCTTCAGCAAGATGTTGATGGTCCATAAAACTAAAAACGTTAAGTTGGCTGCGTGTCGCTGTATGGTTGTGCAGTCCTGATTTACAGGTTACACTGCCACAGTATCGTAGGCTGTGAGTCCCCGCCCGTGGATTGCTTGCTGGGGGATTGGGGTGGCTGCTTCTGGTCTGAAAATTGTCCGACAAATTATTTTCAGTTCGTAGATTTTTTCCAATTCAAATTCAGTTTTTTATTTGTTTTGCTCAATTTATAATTTATGGATATCATTTAGACCCGCAATACTATCCTAGACCATTTTTACTATTCGATTTACATTTGATCTTTATACATCAATATATTTTTTTGTTGTTTTTAAATAATATATATCAGCAAGTACATAAAAGATTACTTATTTATGTAAAATTAACATTCAGCTGAGAAATAAACTGCTATACATCTTTCCAAAAAGCATTTCAACAAAATTATAAAAGTATTTATTTGCCTACGATTAAATCTATTGTAACTTAGATAGGTAAAATTTTTAAATAGTTATAAATTTGTTTATATCTTGTTAGGAAAATAACGTACACATAAGGTACTCTACTAAGCTATGTTGCAGACGAGCTCCGAGTAAGGGTTGGAATTTATAACTTTATATGTAATTTATCAGTAAGCCAAATTCTGTTTTTGTTTTTCTCTATATTTTCTTCTATTAATTATATATTATAGTTTTATTATTTTACTTTCATAGCTTGATATTTAATTGAATTATTAATTACATAATTTTCATATAATAATTTTATGGAGCACGCTAGCAATTTTGCAATCAATATAACAAGTGCAAGGGAACAAAAAAGTCAAGGATATGATTACACACTGATTAATATATGTATATTAATATAAATAGGTATTTAATGTATTTATTCATGCCGGTTATAATGAGTGACGCACTGTAAAAAATCTAGCCACGGCGTCTGAATGTAATGTCTCATTATTCGTTCAGCAAAAAAAATGGGTTGAGTGCATAATATAGGTTAGAGTGTTAGCCACATAATATTAATCACGTAAAAAAAAATCAGGCAAAATGAAAGATACTCAGTAAATAAGGCGTTTTTTCACATACTTTGACTTACTGTTTCCTGTAGACCACGGATGCAGAACATAACACATGCTTAATTACGGGCTTAGACTAGTCATACACGATGCTTTATTATATAGTATAGTCTATCGCACAACACATTTACTAGCACACACACAAGGAATCGGCAAATTTTGTTGAATTAGTACCAAATTGAATGTATTAAGGTGATCAACTATTGTTTGTTCAAAAAGAGTACATTGCAAGTATTTCATAGGCGAAAAAAAAAAGAAGAAAAAACGACAAAAACTTTATTTTCTTTTAAAAACATATTTTTCTTCGGAGTGGATTTTTTTGCTAAATGAGGATGTTCGTACATAGGATGTAGCCACATCCGAACAACATTCATTTTGCATATTAAATTTGACTGTTAAGACGGCAGATAATGTTTTAACAGAAAGTTGCGACTTCTCACTGCTTCAATAATCATTCCCTAGTAAAAATATCCTTTCAACAGCAGCATTAGTGCCTGGACAACATAAGGAAATTTCTATTAAAACATTTAACATTTCATGTGGGATATGTTCTACTGAAATTCTAATGAAATTCAAATCACTGTCAAAATAATTTCAAATATTTAATTAATAAAATTGAAATAAACTAAAAAAAAAATGTTTTAGAAATACAAATGAGTACTTTCAGAGTACAGGATTTGAAAAGAGTACGGTTTGCGAAAAAAGAGTACAAAACTCAGTAAATGAGTATAGTTGGTCACCTTAATGTATGTCCGAAAGTATGATATTCTGTCGTACCTCGTCTATTTATATGGCATACAGGGCATAACGGATTTCGGTACTGTAACTAGAGGTAGTCACAACATATTTCATTGTTAATATTAAATTGGTATGTTCAGATGTAGGATATTCCTATGGCTTGCAGAAAATGATCTTATTGAACAAAACATTTAAAACATTAATTATTATGAAACAACGACAAACATAGATTTAATATCAATCTATGGGTGTTATTGTAAGTAATACTATCAATTATAACAAATTCTACTCGTACATATTTATTGTAGGGATTTTTCAAATTGGTATAAATTAACATATTGTGTATGCGCCGAAATTTTAGCCGTCTATGTTCGAATAGTTTAAATCATTATAATTAAAATCGTAATTTTATTTTAATCGAAACTATTATAAAATAATATCTTTTATTTTGTGATCCTTAAACTATTTTTAAATAGTTTCGATTAATCCTATTTTGAAGTCACATTTGAATTTATTATATAAGGGAAAATAAAATTTGAATATGTGGAGGATTACATACCCAAATGTATGTGCATTTGTTATGTCTGGTGACCTATAGAGTTAATAGTGACATGATACAAGTGTTTAGGTAAGTATATCAATTTGTTGGCACATTATACTGTGGTGGAATGTAGTGAATGTACTTTAGGTCTCGTTGAACTGACCTGTCAATGAGTTTCCTCATTTCCTCGCTGTGCAAGCCGTCCTTGGCAGTGTGGGCCCTGACTGCAACAACACATAAGTCACGACGAGCTCTACTCTAGACACGAGACCCGGAGACACCTGCCCGCTACTGATACTGATCATACAACATCCATTCTGTCTGTCTTGATAGAAATATCGTAGTAAAATACACATAGAGTGGATGTTTTATGATTATAATCTCCAAAACATATACTAAATCTACAGAATTATTTTCAATAAAAATAATTAGTTAACACAATCACGTCTAAGCACATAAAGATCAATGATTTATAAAATTTAGAAAACCCTAGTAAGAACATTAGATACGTGGCAAAATTAAAGAAGTGCATAATTTATTTTCAATGTTTTATATTAGGAAGTATGTATAGGTATATCGTTATTTTATCAAAAGGACGTCATTAATTTTGCCGCGTTTTTAATAGTAAATAATAAGAAGTAAAAACATTATTATAAATATGAAATTTTGAAAGGAAAATCTAGAAAGCCAATTGCGTAAACGTCAATAATATATAAGCCTAAGTTCCAATATTGTTAAGTAACAATTATCGAGAAACATTTTGCATGCTGTCAGTCACAATGAAAATTAACATAAAATAATTATTGAGCTAAAATATTTTTACCGTCTTCTGTTCAGGTGACACCCAAGAGTGCATGGACCAATCCGACAATTAATTTGAAATATTATTTTATATATATGATATTTGATTTATGAAATGACCTGATGAGTTGATAGCCATACTTTATTATTATAAAACAATAATATGTAATTATAATACAAATATAATACATTGAACATATATTGGTAATGTAAAATACATTTTACTATTGTGTGGTAATAAATAAATAAATATATAGTATTGGTAAAAGTAGGTATGCCTTAAAAATTGTAAAACAATAATATATTGTGTCTATCACATTTTTCAGTGTCCCTGTCAGAAGAATAAAAAAAATACATTCTAATTTGTTAAACAAAAAATAAATATATTTTAGATTTCTATTTTTTTTTATAGATCACGTTACAAACCGTGCAACAATATGCACAATTTATTTTGAGATTAATGATAGAATGACAATGTGTTTCTTTCAATTTTTATGAGATATTCTAAAAAATCGTTCAAGTAGGACAATAACAGAGCGCATATAAATATCTCGTAAGCATGTGTAGGCAACGCTAACTGATGATTATATGTTTATAAAAATTTTATCGTTCCATTAGTTATTTGTTATGTTCTACGTACCAGGATAGTTCCGCGGTTGGTCACACTCGGCTTCGGAAATTTCGTTCGAATCCTTGCTTTCATTGAAAGAGGAAGAGCAGTTGTTGTCATTGTTGGCGTTGCGTGGTGGTGGTGGGGGAGGCTCGGGGGATCCTCCGCATTTGCGTGTACCTGTGATTGGTATACTTAATTCACTTTATGTCCTATGTAATTATAGTAATAAGACTTTAGATAGACAACAGAATTGCCCGCAGAGGATTAACAAAGAACCTAATTTATATAAAACAATGTAAACATATATTGTATATATTCATCTCACAGCACCTCTAAACATCATCATTATATGACGATGCACATAGAAATTTATTTCGTTCGGAGTGACTGTAGCAATTCATATTCACTTACAATTTTCACTGTCCTTCTTTCTGTCTTCTTCACTCGCCTTCTATATGCTTTTTTGTTTTTATAAATCATATTTATTTATTAATATATATCTAATTATTTATGTACTGCAACGTACAAATTATTATTGTACCATTGTAATACGTTGCTGTAGTAGTAATGTCACTCTGGCACGACGGAGACCATCAACGTTAAAAGAGTAGTATGTAGTACATATACCAATGCTGGGTCGTGATCCATAGTGGTCGGAGTAGGGAGTGCCATAGGCGCCGGTGTACTGCTCGTCTTCAGGTGCGCAGCAAGCGGGCTCGTCATACTCGGGACCACACGCGTACATCGGGCGAGAGTAGCGAGCACGCTGCAAATATTACATTACATATAAAATAAAATAATAAAAAATATATTTTATGTGTTGTATATGTAAAATTCATATTAAAACAATTACGTATTGATCTTCTTCGGCGCAGGTAGCCGGGTCGTCATATTCGGGCGCAGTAGAGTAGATAGCACTTTGTCCTCCCTGAGAATTTTTGCGGGCATAGCGGCTGTTTGCTCGAGGCTGTGTAAAAAATTAATAAAATGAATTAATGGACGAAATTTTATTTTTATGTAAATATATTTTAAATTGAGGAATTCTATAGAGGAATTGAAGCAATTTAAAATATGATAGCTGAAAATTTTTCAAGTAAAATAAGTTAACTATTACATTAAGTAACTGTATTGTATCTTAATTCTTTTTTTGGATCAAGGGTCGTTTTGATAATGTTTTTGTTTCTTCGACTTTCAGAAGCGCTGTATGTGTCAGTCTCAATTGAAATAATTTTTAATGTCGTTTGAAATATGTAAATACGTGCTCTCACCATGCTCTGCGATCCAGCGCGGGAGTGAGCCGGGTGGTGTGGGTGTGGGTGTGCGAGGGTGCCGGCGTGCGCCGCATGGTGGTGCGGGAATGCTAGCGCCTTGTTGGGATCCATTTCCTCACGGAAGCCAAGCAGGTGGAAAGTAGCGTACGGGCAGATTTCGTCTTCCATGCCTGTGAAATTTCATGCAAAATAATAATATTAATGTAGGATTGCAGTTGTGATAATACTGTTGGATAATTAAGTCCAACTGGCTGTTTCCTGCGACTTTGCCTCCATGAATCAGTGTAAATACTATCCTATGTTAAGTTAGAATATAACTTATTCGTGCACCAAATTTCATTCAAACCCATTCAGTAATTATCGCGTGAAAGAGAGAGAAACAAACATCTATGTACGAGTATACATTCTTGTAAACTTTCGGATTTATTATAGTAGGTAGTGGGGTTGGCACGTTAAAGTTTGCTGATATTTTTTATATATTGAATATTTCTGCAACCAATATTGTTCTTAATCAATCATTTTTTTACGTATAATTTACTACTTCGTCTGTAACAATTTACAACAGCAGCTGATTTTAATCAGATACTTTATTCTCAGTTATAACAATTAGATGAAGTATCTATACTTATTAACACTTATCAATCCGCATAGATACGAGTAGATATAAATATGTAAGAGTCTACTTGGTGTCTTTATTAATACAATATTATATTATCTGTGCTAATAAGTGTAAAAGTGAGATTGTTCATTTAAATATTTGTTTGTTACCTCTTGGTGCTTTAACCACTCGTTTAATTGCATTAAAATTTGGTATACATGTACTATTCGAGATGAAGAAAGGCATAGGCTACTTTTAATAGCGAATAAAGTCGCGGGTAAAAACGGTAGGATATCATTATCATCATCATATCCGCCTTCAGCTGTCCACTGCTGGATATAAGCCTCCCCCCGGGGGGGGGGGGGATTATTTGCCCCTCTTGGCTGGCGGATTGTTAACCGCAGTTAAGCTATAGATATGCTTTAAGAGGGACGCTGCTGCTCATCCCCCGTCCTTCTTTAGTCTTATGACACTCACAGGATAGGATGGGGTGTGTCGAGACCACACGGCCAATAGTAGGTAGGATGTGTAGGCTATTATTTCGTGGGTATGTAGTATTATATAACATATTAGGATTAGGGGGGAAAGGATTGTTAGTAATGCGGATTATCAGTCCCATTGTCAGCAATATACCCTATCAGGTCGATCTTCACGTGGTTCCCCCAGGAAACCATCGTGCTGAATTCTGAGTGTATTTATGACGGTAGGTTAACTGACCTACCCTTTCTGAGGATAAAAGGGTAGGTCAGTTATTTCCTATCATCTCTCACTGGTGCTTCGCCAGCGTATACCGTTAGCGCAGGCGGGGTTACCATTTCATTATCATCCATTGAAAAAAAAACATATTAGGATTCAGATATATTAATATCGTTAACAATTAGGTATTATTAACATAGGTAGGATCTTATTCTCTAAGATTATTATAAAAAATTTAAGTACTCACAATAGCAAAGACAACTTAAAGTTTTAAATAGTGTTTCATACCATTTTTTTAGATAATTATGATTTACTGAGTAATCGTAAAATTTTGAATAAGTTATTGATTTTATATAATTATTTAAACTATATTTAAATAAATATATATTTTATGAAACCGTAGTCTATTTTCAACGTAATATTTAACACTTTAACTACTGAGAATTTACCGTGAAAGTTTAATAGGTCGTATCAACAGTGTTCCTCAATTCACAGGGCGTCATCAGTTCGCAATTACCTAAGTAAGCAACGCATGTAGTATCCTCACGAGTTGCTCTAACCTACATGGCGATTTCAATGCCTATTTCAATGCACGAATAAACGAGATACGCAATAGTGAGCACCATATAGTTTACATCGACTTGCGAGGTCAGTTTATGTGTATCTATTCGCAAAAGAGGCATGTCTTTATAAAAAATAATAGCGCATAAAATAAATAATTATCTGGCTAGATAAAAAAAAAATTAAATAAATATTGTTAATATTAGTTCTTTTATTATTATTTTTTTTAAGATATGCCAACATTGTTTAGATGTTAAATACGACAAGTATAAAAAAAAACTGATTATACTTAAAATATAGTACATATTGGTATGAAATACTAATTAATAAAATTAGAAAAATTCTAATAAGTAAATGGTTAGTAGTTAACACTCTTACTCCCTTACTCATAAAAACTAAAACCTACTACTAACCTATATTAGCTATTGAACTGTTTTGTCACTTTCTTTTTAATTGGGATCGCTGCATAAAAGAAAAAGACAAAATAGTTCAATAGCTAAAATAGGTTTATGACACGTTTCACGTTTTTATGAATAAAAAGAACATTACATTATATTAACACTATACACACACGGGCAATGTTAGTAGCAATCTATAAGATACTTACTTACTTGTCTAAAACTATTCAGTTAATGAATTATGTAAATGATATACATAAGTTCTTAGAAAATTTCATAGATAATATGAAACTACTTTATTTGTAAATAGATCAAGTGTGCTCAGCTACTGCAAGGGAATGAGAGTGCAGTTAAGTGTCTAGTTGTTCACAGGATAATTGCGAGTCATCTAAAAATCTACATAGCAAACGGCATGCTAGTGTTTAGTCCATTTTACTCCATCTTAATATAAATGTAGACAAACTGGAGAAAGATACTTCTGCTCCAATAGGTAGGTTATTGGTACTTCACCAATCTTGACTTGTCTAACAAAAAAAGGAAACATTTGGAAAGTAATTATTTTTTAGAATATTGCCAGTATGTAATCAAAGATCCTTCAAACTCAGTTTGCTACCTGCCAATGTATCACAATTTTAGTGTTCGTATTACTAGATAAAGTTTCAGTATATCAATAGGAACTTGAATATTTCTAAAGTTGAGATGTAAGATCAAAAAACTTTGTATAATCGAAGTACATTTATATTGGGATGGATCGTTATGAACTATACATATTTTTAACGAGAAATACCTGTGGAAATGGTGTCACCGGAACCAGCACGGCGCATTCGCGGGCGCCGCACCCGCTCGTAGTGGTGTCGGCGCGGGTCCCACGTTGAATGCGCGCCCACTGAACCATACTACTGAGTTACGCATGCGCGTACCATATACCACGCACTCCCATGTACCATCTCACCAATTGTCCCTCCACGATTGAACTTTATTCCGTGGGATTTTAATAGTTATGTACTAAGTACATTAAATGGCACCATGAGCAAAGAATGTATTGATAGTGCACGCGAATAAACACTAGCGAGATGATATTTGAGAGGCATTCCATTAATCTACGGGTAATGAATGCACCAGTGTCTAAACCTGGACTTGTTGTAGGCTTCAAAAACATGTTGAACATGGATGGTACAATCAAGCAGACAACACTGCTAGGACAAAGCAAAGGGACACGCAAAACAATATTGTAGCTTTCGCCAGTTATGATGTGTGAAAATATATGAAATAATTTTGCATTAAACTTATAAACTACGGTATATATAGGTAGGAACAAAGATCTCTTGGGATTATTATCGCAACAATGTTTGTTATGACATTGTTTAGCTTTAGCTACGTAAATGTATATATATTTCTGTCTCAAAAATTTAACCATGCCAATAGATGTTTGCCGTGTTAGTTTGGATATGAGCATACTTTATTCAAGGAAAAGTTTTGAAAAAGGAAATAAAAAAGTAATATTTATATAATAATCCCAAAATCCCAAATAGGTCGTATTTATTATTATATAATAATAGATATATTTTAATTACCGTCACCTTGTACATAAATCTCTAAATACTATAGAGCATAAGAGCTATGAAAAAAATAAGATCGTGCAAATAGAGGAAGCTAATAAAAAAAAATTAAAAAAATGAACAGTGTCCTGGAATGTCATTTACCGACGCGGAGTTTTCGCCAAGCCTTCCAGAATGTAGATACGTGTGCAACCTATGAAACTGGTTGAGAAAAATATATGTGTGTAGTTAAAAGATCATCAAATACGTAATCAGAGATTACTGTACTCACTGATAACCGCCTGACGTTTGACTCTGTCGCAGGTGTTATAGTTGGAACCGGGAACGGGTGGCAACTTGCGGTTGGGCGGTGCGATGTAGCCAAGTTCATCACGTAGTCCTCCACGTTTGTCTAGCGTGCCTCCGCCGCCGCCCATCGCCGCTTGGGACGCGTTGTATACTGCATCATCTGTATAAGTAGACTGCTGTTTTCACTGTTTGCTAAAGCTATTGACGTTGACACGTAATTGAGTGCATATTTTTATAGCTTTATAAATTGGACTCGTGAAATATGTAAAGGTAGAGCATTTCAATTTATTATAAAGTGTCTAATTGGCCAATAATATAATTTTACGAGTATAGACGACTAATACTAATATTATATGACATGTTCAAGAATTTTTTGTTAGTCACATTGTTATTTACATAAAGATTGATTCTTAATTTAGCTAAAACTAAGGCGAAAGGCAAACAATAATTTAATGATGAATTTAGAACAATGAATACGTACATAAAACATAAGTGTGTCATAGACATTATTTACATGCTGGAAACTTATTTGATCTAAGTAGGTATAGTTTAGATATAGTATAACGTAAGGAAAATGTCGAATGAGATAAATTATAAGATATAAGCGGCGACCCATGCCTCCATACATACAGTACACGTCCTTCTGACCTCGCAGCCGATGTGGTGTGTTTCTACGCGCAAGGGTAAGACATATGACGACAACTCCCACTATGAATACGACAATCGTCGCTAGAATCGGCACCAACACTTCAGGTTCCAGCCAAGCTTTCACCCATACAGGCAAGTCCTTGCTGCCGTCCACATTGTTGGGTAGCGGTGCGATAGTTCCTAGAAATATTAAACGGTCAAGTACCTTTGTGGTGGTCCCTGGTGCCTCGCACTACGCATACGACTACAATAGCGATGATGATGACTAGGATCGCAGCGACGACGGGCACGATAAGGTTTAGGTGCGACAGGATAATCTTTAACGTCTGCTCGGTAGTTAGCGTGTTGCCGACATCGCGTGCGGGCGCTATTGTACCTGAAATGCAAGCCGCCATGTTATAATTTCGTGTATGATAGAAACGATTATACAAATTTTAAATATGACAAACATAAAGTTAAAAGGCGATGCATTTCAGGTACATTTGTACAAATTATAGTATATAACGATAAACAAAAATAAAATATTAATATGACTGAATTGTAAGAAATAATAAGTGATATAAAACGTAATATTTGGTAGAGTTATAGTTTACTTACCGCCAGTCATTGTAAGGGTAGCGAAATCATACTCAGCGACGTTAAAACCTGCGTTGTTATGGGCTGTAATCCTTAAAGTATACCATGTAGCAGGCTCGAGGTCTGTAAGGTATTTGTGTACATTAGTATAAAGGTTTATACAGGAATATGATCATGATGTCGACGAGTTTAATTGTATATAAAAAAAAAACTTGCTAGTATAGAAGGTTGTAACAACACTAAATAATAGCAAGACTTGTGTAATAGCAAGAATAAGAATATTCTTTCTGTTATAGAAGTATATATACATCTATTTATATAACTGTACTTTCACTCTAGTCCCATACAGGGAAATAGATGCATACCCAAATTATGATACCAGCTTTTTTAATTTTTTTTTAAAGGTAGATGGGCTTTTGTTTACTATTCTTCCCTATCTGCCGTCTTTATTATTTCACTATTCTACACATCATATGTTTCAAACAACCAATATACCTTTTCTTTAGTCTTACAATTCTTACCTAATACAACAAAATTGCCGCCTGGTTTAACTGCATTCGAGATTTGATTCCATTCAGCCGTACCCCTGAAATATTTCTCTCATTTATTACAAAGTTTTTATTTTTTTATTATTTGAAATAGTTATAAATAGTTATTATAATACTACGTAATCTCAATATTATTTTCGTTTGTATATAAAATAAAATTAATTCATACTAACTTCTTTTTGTTCTCGACTACGAAATGGCTCATGGGGCAGCCGCCATCAAGCCATTGTTTTAGGTGAAGTGTGACAGAGGAACTACCGACCTCGATGAAATCAGCGGCCCTGGGTACTGGGGGTTTAGAGCCGCGAGTTCCAGCGAATACTACATCCGATGCTTCTCCCGTTCCGATACTGAGAAAATAGAATATATTTAATTTTGCAACATATCACAACGCATGCAATGTTAAAAAATTTACTACAAATAATGTAAAAGTTTTATATACAGTAATATATAGTTCAATAAAAAGATAATAGGAATATAATAATAATATATTTAATTTATATTGTATTTTAAATTAAACTAGTGTAATGACTGCGTCGCGATCTAGGTGCAGAATTAGTTAAGCATTCTAATTTGAATTAGGTTTAGTCGATCTATATTAAGTTATTGCATATTCAGCAGTAGGTAGCCCTTAATTGTTCACTATTGAATATGGGCCTCTCACATAAGGAGGGTTTTGCCAGTAGTTACAGCGGGTTAGCACCCGCAATTAGGCTTTGGTGATGTTTTAGGAGCGATGCCACTACCTATCTATCCCTCGACTATTAAGTTCCGGTTTTCGCCTCTTACAACACTCACAAGAAAAAAAGAGTGGTCTATTCCATGCCAGAACCACACAGTCATATTGAATTGTATACATTTAAATGAGGCCAAAGCTAGTAGCTGTAGATAAAATTATTTGGTACCTACATATATCAGTGTCTTTATAGAAATAAATGTATATTTACCCATTGTAGGCCGTGACATATAATTGATATTTGGATCCGCAGAATAAGTTTTCCAAAGTGTAAGTATCAGTGTTAGCAGGAATCTGTAAAAAATATTTTTCGTTATTATGTTTTATTGTATTTGTAAAAAATACGTATATTAATGATACTTACTATTGTAAATACTTAGTTTAACAATTAATTTAGAAATTTGCAATTTTGCGAGTTTAATAATACGTACTTAATAAAAGTGTGAGACTACTCAACTGATAATTTGTCTCAGTGCTATGAGAGATACAACATTAAATATCATATGTAAGTTTTTAATTTAACGTCTATTTGTGCAAACGGTAAATAAATTCAGTACATACTTAGTTCGTGTACAGTAGAAAAGATTCTACAAGCATTATCACCTTTAGGTTCTGCACTTAGTTCTAAAATTGTATAAATATTAGAGAATATAAGATACATAATGGGTTTTAAAATTATTCACTCTTTATTTAAAGCTAAATCGGTAACTAACCTGAACAGTTTCCCAGTCTCCAAACTCTTGCTTGTAGTGTATGGTATAACCGGCCGCGGGCGACTGTTCAGCTTCGGCAGATGGCTTGAGACGGAGGGTGAGTGACGAAACGGATGACGCCGCGATAGTGAGTTGTGGGGGGAAAGGAGGAGCTGCAACGTTAAGTTATATTATTTTTTTGTTTTTTTAAAATACCTGTTTGGCTGTTTAATTGCAATGTACTGAGATGGCTAGAAATGAGGCTCAAAAACATTGAGGTACAAATATTGAACATGAATATTGAACTAGTAGTGTTTTTGAAAATACAATGTTACTCAATGATAATGTGTCTTTCTATAGGTAAGTATTTTCTGAGTTTATCCATTTATCTTCTGTCTTTTTCTGATGACATTTAATGTTTCGGTTTCTTTTTAATATCCCCTCTCGTTTCCTGTTTCTTAGTGGTATAATGGGCAACATGAGTCCCTTACCAATATTAAAAAGAATGTTTTGGTGCTACAAGCAGACATCAAAAAGTTTTTGTAGTTTATTACCCCGATACAAATATATTCTCTTCGTGTGTTCGAATTTGGCATTACAGACTATTGTCAGTTCAAATTAAAGTGTACTTACCTAGAGAGTATATGTATAAAAGATGTTGTTTTAGGATTTTTATTATTTTATATTATAATATCTAACATTTCATTGGATTATCTATGTCGCCAATCTTGGCAAATCTGTTAAAAGTATCTTTTTGTTGTGATTAGTCAATGCTATAATTATAATTTAATATATTTTACTTTTGTATATTTTAATCTAGACTATTTCTGTGTAAAAGACATGCCTGTTTGACATATTTCTATACCATAATAAGCCGCGTGTATTACCTAAATAGACCCGAAACTAACCAAGAACAGAGAGTGTGTGGGTGACGGTGTCTGTGCCGAACTGGTTGTCCACGTGACACGAGTACTCGCCGGCGTCCTCGCGCGCCACGCCTGCGATCTGGAGCGACCCTTCAGGCAGCTGGCGTATGCGTTCTAGTGTTTCTAATGGTTGTCCTTTGACCTGAGTATTAAATATTATCATTAGAGTAAACTCTTGTTGGGTTCGATTTTGTAACTTCCTCATAAGATAAATACTTATCTAAATAATCCTTATTCTTTGCCATTATCTATAAAAACTTCTTTAAATGAATTCAAGTTATTATATATAATAAATCATAATTAGGTATAATACAAGTAGATACGTATACTTTAGAGTTAAGTATAATTATTTAACATTTTAATTGAAATATATTGTAATTACCTTCCATAGAATATTTGGAGGAGGTACACCGACAGCAAGGCAAGGCAGCTTCACGTCTTCTTTGTATGTGGCAATGAACGCTTCATCAAAGAAGCAATTTTCGCAGGAACTAAAAACGAAAGGATTCATTTATTATTTCATTAAATAAATAAATAAATATACGCACGCGTAATACCTCTGGTATTTCAGGTGTTCATAGGCTACGGTAACCACTTACCATCAGGTGGGCCGTATGCTTGTTTGCCACCTCATTGTTATAAAAAAAAATAGAGATAAAAAGTAGCCTATCTCCATACTATATGGCATATGTATACCACATTTTATTTTAATTGGTTAAATCGTTAGCCGATAAGAGGTAATAAATAAACAAACAAACTCGCAAAGTCCATATATATATCCAAACAAATTCACTTTAACATTTATTATTTAGTAAGTATTATTTTGTAATTTCACAATTAAAGTAACTAAACATAGGTATGTTATTAAGTCGTCATAGTGCGAAATAATAGTATTTTTTGTTTTATGTTTAAAATTTCATTACCTTTGTCACTAGGGCTGCAGGAGGCTGTTGCTGAGGGTTGACCTTCGCCAATTATAGTAGAAGCCGTAACCCAGAAGTCATATCGGCCCGCTTTCAAATCTGTTGCGGAGTAGCTGGTCTGAGATGCAGGCACCTGGAATAATTTTTATATGAATACCAATTTGGTTTATCAAGCTGTAACTCAAATTGAATTTTATTGTTTAAATAGAAATTTTACTTAGAAGCCCCAAAACAATGACTTTCATCTATATTCTTGAAGTAATTTTGATATTACTTTACACAGCCACATCGCGATTCAGGTGTATACATTAGCAAATAATAAATTAGTACATAAAATTATGTTCTTAGTTTATAAAGTAAAAAAAAGAATAAAAATGCTCGCAATTGTAGGCAGATCAGGTGGAGATTAAAAACATTATATGATATGATATCAAGTACCTTTCAATTTGAATTTACATATTTAATTATTCTCTCTAGAATAGGTAATTAAAATACCTTATTGGGATGAGGTTCGGCGTTTTGTGCTTGCGTGTAGACATTGTAGTGAGTAACAACACCGTTAGGTTGTGCTGGAGGTCTCCAGGAAACGAGAATCGAATCAGATCCCATTACAAGGGCTTTTACAGCACGAGGAGCTTCGGGAACTGTAAAAAAATTTTTTTTCTACTTATGTGCTAAATAAATATACTGTCTGCGTACATAATCTGTACAGTGTAATGGAGTACATAATCTGAGACCCGTGTCAATTCATCGGATGGGGCTCGCCATTTATTAAAAAAAAAACTATATTTCCATAGCTTTTATGTCGCTTATTAGTCAGACTCCCAGTTTTCTGAATAATATTAAGTCATAATATACATTTACAGTCCACGATTTCAATTGAAATTTATTTCCCATGAAGTTATCTATCAGTTAATTTTTTTTTAAATTATAATTAGTGCTTTACAATAAGTAATAATATTACAAATTTCATCTGTTGAATTGTAATCACATACCGTCTTGTTCAGTTTGGCAGTGGATTGGGGTTGACCGTACGCCATCACCACCGTTCGTAGTCGCTAGCACTTCCATCGAGTAATTGGTGAATTTCTTAAGTCCATGCAAAATGGTTTCACTGCTGGCCGTGATTTTGGTGTCCTTTGTTTTTTCATCTAACAGAAACATACATTTAATATGTGTAATTATTTAAATTGCTTAAGTGACAAAGCGTTTAAAATATTAATTTTATAAATACTTACCATACCATGTTTCACTGGGTCCATATATCACCTTGTAAGCTTTAATAAGTCCATTAGCAGCAGCCAGAGGAGGGGATACCCAAGAAACGCGAATAGTTTGAGCGGTAAGCGTTGTGCAGAAAACATCTTGAGGAGGAGCTGACGGAGCACCTTCGGCGGTGTATGCTCTAACTTCGGTAGAAACTGGACCAGAACCCATTTTGTTAAATGCTTGAACTACCATAGCGTATTGTGTATATGTCCTACAAACAGTAGATTTTTCAATAATATATACGGATATTTAAAAATTTTAATCAGGTAAATTAAATTGTTTTAAATTTTCCATACTTACTTTAAATTTAAAATATCAAGATGATGTTCTTTACCCGATTCTTTTGAGATATCTACAGTTTCAAATACGAACGATTTGTTGCTTGAGGCCAATTTGTAACCAACATAATATCTGTAAAAAAAAATATATTTCTTAGATTTTGTAAAAACTTTTATGGACAATGAAGAAAAATGCGTAAACATAATATATTTAATTACCCTTGGAGTTCGCCGTTCCAATCTTGGGATGGAGGAGGCTTCCACGTTACTCGCAGCGTATGTTTATCTACAGCGTCTACTTTCACGTCTTGCGGTGGTCCAGTAGGTGCTTCTTCAGCAGTGATAATAGTTACTGTTTCTGATGGTTCCGAAGTGCCCAATTCATTTTCAGCGACAATTCTTATGTGATAAGCAGTAGCAGGTCTTAGGCTAAATACACCAGCTTCTGTCGCATCGCCAGGGACAAGAACTCTGAAAAATAAAAATGTGAGTAGAATGACATTGATTGTAATATAATTAATAAGCTAATAATCACTATATCTATTTACTAAAATCTTCGTAAAACAAAACCTAAGTATATATAAATAAAGAATTACCTATCAATATCTTTTTCCCAATTTCCCTTAGCGCGCTTGTACTCAATAAGGAACTTCTTAATAGGAGAATTTCCATCATAAGGCGCGGCCCAAGAAAGTTGCACTGTCCTTCCAGATTTGTCCAAAACTTTTAAACCATAGGGAGCTTCGGGAACCTCTGTAAAACAAATAAATAATGATTTAATTTAAATCCATTTTTTTTTTATTATAGTATGACTTCTACTTTAAATATTTTTCATTACCTTGTATAATCATGTTAATACTGGTGTCATCAGAACCGAAGGCATTGGTAGCCACGCAAGTGAATAAGGCGCTATCTGATCGTTCAGTTCTCCTAATACTCAAGTCAGAAACAACTCCTCCAGGCAGAATTTCTTCGCGAATTGTGTAACGTGGGTCAGATTTGGGTTCGAGACGTTTGTTGTTCATATTCCAGATTATTCCAATTGGCTGTAAATATACAATTAAATTAAGTTTTAAGTTTCCTTAAAGGACAAGTTCATTAATTATTGCACACTAATGTAAAACAAATATGTGCTTAAATGTCACCTTTTCACCCTTGGCTTGACATTGTAGTACAGCTGGTTCACTGCGACGTGCAGTTTGGTTTCTCATTTTAATTTCAAACTGAGGTGGTGCTGTAATAGATCCAGTTTAAAATGTTTTTATATGATAATATTAAACAATGTAAATTTTATATAGAATTAAATATTTCTCTTACCCTGAACGCTAATTAAGATTACAGCAGATAGTCCAGAACCAATTCCATTGACAGCTTCACACAGATAATAACCTTCGTTTGTTTTTTGGATATTATTAATAGTTAATGCCCCATCTTCTACTTTTACATTAGGATTATTTGGCTTTAGGTCTTTGTAGTCGCCAGGTGTGTCCCCTAATAAGAAGAAGTACAATTATAGTAATAACAAAAAAGAATTGTTGTAGCAATAATATAATACTATGTTTTTATAAAAAATTTTATCTACCTTCGGCCCTTTTCCATGTAACTTGAGGCTTAGGGAAACCATCGGCTTTACATTCGACCTTGGCATCTGATCCTTGCGCAAAGGCTTTATCAGTGGGTTCCAAAATCCAACGTGGAGGAACTGAAAACATTGAATTTGTTACAACGATTGTAAGTTAATATAAACATATAAAATATAAAAAAAAAATTACTATACTTTCATTATAAAATGTTCTTTAAAAGATGCAATTATATTTTATATGTATATTATTACATACAAGTAAATAAATAACTAAATGCTACGTTCACCTCAACAGCAAAAATTTATAAAATGTCATTGATTATTCCATTTATTGGATTATTAAATCAATTCAAATTTACTGTTATTAGATCTTAATTATTATTAGATATTTTAATAATCATCATCTTTTACGGGTTTTAATGTATACTTTAAATATTTTAAAGATCTTTTCAGTTCAGTTGTTTTTGATATCAAATTGTGGTATAAAAATATACTCTTATATATCAAAATAAAACTAAAATTCTGTAAGAACATGAATAAGTTATAAGTAAAACATTTAACTGATCATTAAAGTTTTTATAAATATTTTTTTGGCACTATGTATTAATAATACGTACAGAATTCTAGTTTGTACAATGTTAAGATATGATTAAAAGCTTCTATAATGTGTTCATTGTTTTATAAGACAGTAACAGTTTAAAAATAAGAATTTTATTACATTTAAAAGTGCAAATGGTATGCGGCGAAGCTGACTCTATAGAAGCTTTTAATTACTCACAATAATGCCAAATGTTTGTTTGGGCAAAATGTATTATTTTAGCTAAGTATAAACTATATTGGACAAGTAGTCGTAATAAATAAAAAGAAAAAGCGTATTCAATGCGCTAAAGCAGTCTTGAAATAATCTAGCAGTTTTTACAAAAAATATTTTAAATTTTCGAACGAGAATTTTATTACACATAAAAAATATTACAAAACTACTAGTTTATTCCACCAACATGTTAGCAAAGCAAAGCACGTACATTACACACATACACCGAAAAGCAAACGTTGCAAATTAATGAAATAAATAAAAATTAATAGACAGGAACCCGAGGAGTAGGAAGGAGGGAAGATAAATATGCAAGGAAAGGAAAAAGAAATGGTAGTCGATGAGAGCCGCAGCCTGTCCCTAATACAACGATTTCGACGTTTATATTTGGCATACAAAAGTAATCACCAATTACTTGTAGAATAATTCGTACTTGCAAAATCAATTAACCGGGAAACGAAATAGCTCAAATTGAGGAAGACAAATGGCACCTAAATAGAAATCGTGTCATATTTTTTATATTCTGGACTTTATACAATAATGACCTATAATAACTAATAGAAGCGTTCCTATATACTATGCAAAGCTTTTCCGTGCTAGGAATGAAGGTGACACAGATATGTGCTGGATATACCATGTATTTTTAATGTAGCAGTATAGTTGGAAAAGCCGGCGGCATTGCGTGCAAGACACGCATAAGAACCGCTATGTGACCATCCAGCCGGGTCAATGAGGAGCAATGAAGCTCGTTTTGCAATTTTGGTGGCCGTTACACCAGACTTCTCCTTCAAAGGCTTTCCTTCAAAATACCACTGAATATCCAGCGGTTGATCGCCTTCCGAGACTAAACAAGTGACTTGAGTAGCCTGCCCCGCGTACAGCGGTGTCTCGAATGAGAATGGAACTATGCGAGGTATGACTGGAAACAACCATATAAATTTAGGTTAGATCTGTGGCAGGCAATGTTAGCGAATTGTGAAAATATAATGGGAAATAGTGATATCGGTGATCGATTTCAATTTTCAGGTGCAGATTTGTGATGTTAGTTCCCGTGATTAACGACGCAATAAAGTTATATTGTTCATAAACGTGCCGTTGACGACGAGAGTAGCAGCGTATTCGACTCGTCCAGCCGCGTTCTGTACGATGCAAGTATAGTTTCCTTGGTGATTCGCGCTGACCGGATTGATCGTGAGAGCGGAAGCACGTGGGCCTAGCTGCACTGTCATGATGTCACGATGAAGGCTGGAGTCTATTGTTTCACTGCTGAATGTCCACGAAATGTCGAGAGGTAGGTCTCCTTTCGTAGCAACGCAGTTGACTACCACTGTATCTCCAGGATTGTATGGCATCTCACCGAAACTGAACGGCACAATTAACGGTGGAACTGGGACAATAAATTTTTTATAAAGAAACGAGAAATGTATGAGTAGTGTTGATAGGGAGGAAACTAGAAGCATTATTATTTAGTTGATTTGTTACTCGCACCATTTACGACTAGTTCAGTCGTAAGCGATGAGGTGCCAGCTGCATTACTCGCAGTACAATTATATACGCCCGCATGTTTTGCGTCTACAGATTCGATTGTGATAAAACTACTTCTTCGGTCGATGTTACTGACACGAATTCCAGGAATAAAATTGGCCGATTTATTATTGACCATCCATTCGATGTGTAGTGGTTGATCGCCGTGTGTTATTATGCACTGAAGAGCAAAGTAATCACCGAGAAACGCCGGTTCTGGCTCGGCAACGAAAGGTGCAATTTTGGGAGGAACTGAAACAAATATTATCTACCTAAATGTCTAAGATAAGTAAAAGAATTTATTAAGCCTTTAATGACTAACCGTAAACGACTAAATCTTCAGAATAAGTAGTGCTTCCTGCACGATTTTTTCCGATGCACATATAAGAACCAGCGTGCCTGGCATCTACAGATTCTATTATAAGTAAGCTACTTCGTTTAGAGTTATTTATAATATAATTATTATTTCTTTGTGATATTGGTTGTCCATTGACCATCCACGTAATTGTGAGAGGAAGATCACCAAAATTAATAGTACATGCTGCTTGCAAATATTCTCCGACGTTTGCGGGTTTTTCGCCGAATTTGAATGGCAGAATATTTGGAGGGACTGGAAACATTGTTATGGACGATATGTGATATTAAAACAACACAACGGAAAATTCGAAGAAAAATAGATACATTTGTAGAAACTTATTAGATATAATAAAATTTTAGAATTCGAATAAGCACCGTTAATAATTAACGTCGAAGTGTGAGATTGTTTTCCAGCTGCGTTCTCAGCAACGCATGTATAATTCCCGGCATGACTATGTGTTACTGCAGCGATACTAAGAATAGCGCTTCGTTCTCCAATATTAAATACGGTTACACCAGATCTGGGTTTGATTGGTTCAGCGTTAAAAAGCCATCGTAGTTGCAATGGATGATCACCCTCAATTACCGAACAAGGTTCAGTGACTACTTGCCCGAAGTTCATCGCAACTTCCCCGAATGAGAAGGGTTGGACCACAGGAGGAACTACAGGAAAAGCAAGAATCATCCGAGATAATAATATTAGTACCGATAACGTTCAGAAGAGCAGTATGGCTGGCGGTGCCTGCCCTATTAGCCGCAGTACACGTATAGTTGCCGCTATTAGGACCCAATGCATTTGGAATATCCAGAACAGAAACACGTTCGTTCAATATCATTGTTTTTGTGCCCATTCTAGATGTGATTGGTTTGCCTTGAAAACTCCAAGTTATGTTTAAAGGCGTGTCACCTTTGGATATGTGACAATCAAGATGTACAGATTCGCCAGCAAATACGGCTTCATCCAATTCAAAAGGCTTGATGTGTGGAATAACTGAGCAAAAAATTGTTGAAATATTAGTGAGGACCTACTATACAGCTAGCTGTAAAATGATCATTTAATGGTAACCCTTAAATTGAAAAGTAGTTGAATATCTTTTTCCACTCTATTCTTTACTATATTTGTATAATAACCCACTAAGCGTTACCATAACGGAAGTATTTATGGATAGGAAAAAGTTTGCTTCATCATTTTTTTCCTGTTTCCTGTCTGTCCTAAATGGCCAAGTAAAAAATATAAACAGTAATATTTGTTACTAGAATGGCAGGTTGTTTGTACAGATTCTTAGTAATATCTGAATTTCTCGCTCTTAAATAGCAATATGTGGAGAGGAATATCTCAAAAAGAAAAGTAATAGTAAATTCTAAATTATTTTCTAACCGTGCAATATAACAGATTGTCTAAAAATGCTCTATTGTATTAGAAAAATATAACGTATCTAGCACGGTAAAGGGGGCGAAATCTAATACCATGAATGTTGATAAGAGCAGAGTGATGTACTCGTCCAGCACGATTACTAGCAGTGCAAGTATAGTTCCCACTATGCTGGCCCATTGCAGTCGGTATACTTAAAACAGAAGCTTCTTCTCCAAGCTTAGTTGTCGTTATACCCTTGTTATTGTAATAAGGTATTTCTTTTCCTTGAAAACTCCATAATATTTGAAGCGGTCGATCGCCTTTCGACACATGACAAGTAAGATGCACCGATTCACCAGCAAATATTGATTCTTCGACTTCAAATGGAATAATATGTGGAATCACTTGAATCGAGACAGATAATTTAAATTGAATGAGCATGGAAAGGAAAAATGGGGAAATTAATTATAACTAAAAAAAATATTGAACTAATCCGATAGAAATTTAAGGTACCGATCACTTTAAGCAGCGTAGTATAAGAAGCTATTCCTGCCCGATTTTTTGCGATGCAAGTGTAGTTTCCGCTGTGAGCACCGGTTAGAGACGGTAGCAGAAGTACGGAGGAGCGGTCGCCTACTTTCGAAAAAGTTCCTAGTTGTTCTGATAACGCTCGACCATTAAATTGCCAATATACGTTCAGAGGTGAATCCCCTTTAGATATGTGGCACATCATTTGCACCGATTCGCCAAAAAATAATGCTTGATCAACGTCGAATGGCAATATGTTTGGTGTAACTGTATAAAAGAAAAAAATATGAGAGGTTCAAATTATTGAAAATAAAAGAAAAATAATATATGTAATTAGTCTGTGATTACATAGTCATGCTGATTTCTTCATTATATAAAATAAAATAAAAACTAGCATTTTTGAATTGTGATAAATAATAATTTAAACCACATACTTCTTGATGTCAATATTAAACAAAACTGACCATGAACATTAAGGACAGTGGAATGATTAGTAGAGCCGGCCCTGTTGGTTGCAACACAGGTATAGTTGCCACTATGCCCGGCCGTTGCCGCAACGATAGAGAGATATGAGGCACGTGATGTCATTTTAGTAGTCATAATGTCGAGATGTGATGAACTGTTTTCAAACCCATGGAAGTGCCACTTGATATCAATTGGTAAGTCACCCTTCGACACATGGCAGTTGAGCTGAACAGATTCCCCAGCAAACACTGATTCATCCGCTTCGAACGGTACGATGTGTGGTAATACTGTTAATTTACAATGCTAAATTCATTACTTAGGCAAGCGAGCAACGTGCGAAAGAGGCGAGGGCAGTGAATGGGTTACTTTTATACCGTGGACATTAACTGAGGCAGAATGGATAGCCACGCCAGCATGATTTGCGGCATGACACCAATATTCGCCGCTGTTACTTGCTGTTGCACTAGATATTGTCAACAACGATGAGCGCTTGCCAATCTTCATAGTAGTAATTCCTTGGTGAGAGGATAGTTCCTCCCCGTGAAAAGTCCAAGTTATAGTAAGAGGAATATCGCCTTTGGAAACATGACAGTTCAATTGTACGGATTCTCCAGCAAAAACTGGCTCTTCAGCCTCAAACGGAACGATGTGCGGAGGAACTGATAAGGGAAAACACATAAAATCATAATCAAAAACGAAAAATAAAAGATGAGAAAACCTATAATTATTGTACCCTGGACATTTAATACAGCAGTGTGGTTTACGCTTGCTACGATATTTGAGGCTGTGCAGGTGTAATTTCCAGAATGATTTTCTGTAGCCGCAGCAATTGCCAATATTGAGCTTCTGTCTCCTACTTTCGTAATAGTTAATGCGGCATGTGATTTTAGCGGCTGACCGCGAAACAACCATGCGAGATTCAAAGGCGTATCGCCTTTAGGAATGTGACACATAACTTGTGTGCTTTCTCCATAAAAGACAGCTTCATCAAATTCAAAAGCGGTCATGATGGGTGCCACTGAAAGACGACTAACTTTCTACATAAAATACATACTTATTTGAATATTATACATATAATGCATGACATGAAAAACCGAGTTAGGTTAAGTTTTATTAAAGCGAGACATCACCCTTAACATTGAGCTTGGCGTGGTAGCTAGCTGTGGCAACAATATTGGATGTTGTGCATGTGTAATTGCCAGAATGTTTAGCCGTCACCGAGGGGATTATGAGAGCTGACCCCCTGTCCCCAACGTTCATGATGTTTAATCCGGGTAATAAACTCACATCGCCTCCGCTAAAACTCCACTTGAAATTTAAAGGTTTATCTCCTTTTGGAACGTGGCACATTACTTGAACTCCTTCTCCAAAAAAAACTGATTCATCAAAATCGAAAGGAGTTATACTTGGCGCCACTGAAAATTACATTTTCCATGGAAACCTCTCTCTTATTGTAATTTTCCATTGTATAATTACGGATTGTTATTTATTTTAATATATAAGCTTATAATATTTTAGATGAGAATCAACATTCAAACATGAACAACTTAAAAGCACTTACGATTTTTATGACCCGCCAAAGTTACACTGTAAAGTGGGAATAATAAATGAGTCGGATGTTTACATAAGACAGGCACTACTTCTACCAGGCTCGAGGCTTGAGGTAGCAAACAGTTGAAACATATACCATTAACAATCAGTTGTGCAGTATGATTCACTGAACCAGCATCATTTGCCACTACGCAGGAATAATTTCCTTGATTTTGATGGGCGACAGATTCGATGTTGAGCTGGCTCATGCGACTACTCTTCGAGATAACAACTCCATTATAACCATTTGATATTAATTTTCCATTAAAATACCAATCAATTTTTAATGGCAAGTCTCCTTTGCTAGCTCCACAAGTGACGAAAACCATATCCTGGGCATTAAATGATTCCTCGCCGAATTCAAAAGGCATGATCTGTGGAGGGACTATTGGAATACGAGTCAGCAAAGAGGCATGACTTAAATCTACATTACTTAAAGCTACTGTATTTTTAAAATTACACAACCGTCAATGTGCCAGTCGTTCATATTTTTAAGCTCTTTAAATTTGATTTAACTCCTTTTTACCTACCAAATTTTACTTAACTATTGTTTTTTTATATTACTTTATAATCAATATTTGTTTTCGATTTCTTTAAGTGTTAATAATTTTGTTTCTATTTTTAAATTACTCGAGTGCTAAAAAATATTTATTAAAAATTAAATCATGGTTATGTTATGACTGAACAAGTGTGGGTTTATGACAATAAAATAAAAAAAAAGAATTAGGTGATGTGTGTTGTCTAGTTTAGGTCACACACGTTAATGATTGTACGATAAGCTTTAATTATTAAATACATTACATAAACAACACTAAGTAACACAAATCTGTATAAAATTAACAAAAACTGTGCGAATACAAGCGTAGTGTTAATGAAAGATCCAACTATATCCAAAACTTGTACCATTGACGTTGAGAACCGCAGTGTGGCTACTGTGACCAGCATCGTTTTCTGCGATACACGTATAATTGCCGATATGTTCGTGTTGTACATTATCTATACTCAGAATTGATATTCTTTTTCCGTTTCTATTTATTATAATTCCATTATTATTTCCCGAATACAAAATCTGGTCATTTAGTTGCCAGTGGATTTTTAAAGGTAAATCTCCTTTTCCAACGGTACATGTCAATGATACAGTATCTCCAGCATTTAGGATTTCTTCGCCGAAATTAAATTGTGTAACCTGTGGCGCAACTATCGAATTTATTTGTATTAGTGTCGACTCTACTGACTAATTTTATGTTATCTGTACATCAATTTATTGCACACCATCGTCTAACTCGTTTTGCCAAAGTAAAAGGATGGATTTGGGGTAAAACTATTTAAATGGATATAATAAATTAGTGGAAAACAAAACATATATTCAAGCAGTCTATAAGAATATGAAATTTGTAACACAACCATTAACTTCTAACGATGCGCTGTGATTCACTTGACCGGCCAAGTTTTGAACGTGACAGGCATAAACTCCTCTGTGTGTTCCATTCACTGAGTCAATACTCAAAAAGGACCCCTTCAGGCTCATTGTGCCAATTACGATTCCTAATGTATTGGCCCGAGATATTTTTCTTCCATTTAAACTCCATGAAAAATTTGCCGGCAAATCGCCTTTATGCATAACGCATTGAACGGAAGCAGTATCACCAGCATTGACCGGCTCGTCACCAAAATCGAAAGGAGAAATCTGGGGAGGAACTGTAGCGATGCAAATATAACTTATGTGGATTATAACGATCAGTAATAATATTCTATCACTAATTTGATTAGAAACTATCGTACGGAACCATAATCATCTCATAAATCTTCATTGTGACGTTTCCGGTTTTTTACTATGCTCTATTTGCCTAATGATTATATTTCTTTATTTTATGATATATTGTTATAATCTGTTGGCGAAAAACCTCTTTTTACCTTTTAGATTTAATATTCTTCTATTTCTAATATGTCTTTTTATAACTTATTATATTTGCTTTATTGATATATACGCCTTTGTGAAGGAAATAAAAACTGATAAGTCTCTAATCATATTTAATTATTGCCACTGTTCTTTCTTCCTACCAGCGCATATTTAATAATTACCGACTTCGATTGTTGATAGAATATGGAAAGGAACATTAAGGATAAATCTAAATAATATTTGTAAAAACATTTAAAGTTACTAAGAAGCAAAAAAATATTAAGGTACCATTTACTGACAACTCAGCTGAATAACTAGCGTTTCCCGCTGGATTAGATGCGAAACATGTATAAATCCCTGTATGAATCGAGTCTACTGCATCTATCGCTAAACTGCTTGATTTATGGCCGATCTTCGTGATACCAACTCCTTGTAACTTTTTAATGGGCTTTCCATTTAGATACCAAGTAATATTTATAGGTGTATCACCTTTTGTCACCATACACTGAATACCAACAGTATCTCCTGCATTGGCTGGCTCCTCCCCAAAAGTGAATGGATGGATTTGGGGTAGAACTGTTAAAATAATATATTTTAGCTAACAAAAATTATATAAATATATATTAAAAAAGATATAATTTGAAAATGAACCATTGACTTCTAATTTTGCGCTGTGATTCACTTGGCCTGCTAAATTTTCGACGTGACAAGCGTACAGTCCTCTATGTGTTCCATTTACAGAGTCGATATTCAAAAATGTGACTTTCGGACTCATGCTGCCTATTGCTATCCCCATGGAGTTTGTTTGCCCTATTTTTTTTCCGTTTAAACTCCATGAAAAATTTGCTGGTAGATCGCCTTTATGCATTACGCATTGAACAGATGCAGTGTCCCCAGCATTAGCTGGCTCGTCGCCAAATTCAAAAGGTAAAACTTGCGGCGGCACTGTAGCAATATTAAAGCACTATGTACACGAATTTTGAATTACGATTTATTTTGTTTTGTTTATAGGTATCAACATATACAATTTTGTTTTTAATGAAGTTTCTTGTTTCTTAATAGATTTGGGTGTATAGGATAAAAGGAGCCGTAAGAAATAAATAAATTAAGAGTAAAATAAATTTGAGTTGCTTTAGGTATGGGTACGAGTACCGTTAACTTCAAGAATTGCAGTGTGGTTGGTGGCGCCTGCCGGGTTGGTCGCCACACAGTAATAAGTGCCTCTGTGCATTTCATTTACTGAGTCTATATTTAGTATAGAGGTCTTTTTATTGACGGCTAACAATTGTATTCCATAATCATTATTTTTAGTCAGTATTTGTCCATTCAGAACCCACTTGATTTTGAGAGGTTGATCCCCCTTACTGACTGCGCATGACACTGAGGTCGATTCTCCGGCATTCGCAGGTTGATCTCCGAATTCAAAGGGTAATATTTGTGGAGGCACTAAATAAAAACTATCATTAGAGAAAAACAACAACTGTGCAGGATCATGTATGAAAAACGATGTAGCTTTGGCGGGTGGGTACCTAATAATTTTATCTTTTACTTAGAATTTAACTTATCTCTTATCGTGTTTTATAGTAGGTATGCTTTATTAACGTACATAGTATTTTATTAACGTCCTGCAAGAGAAATTTTATTAATAAAACATTTACTTATAAGTAATGTCATAGTTTTTTTAGTTAACTTTAACCTAAATAGATTTTTGATTTAGTGATTCGACTGTCATATTTATAGCAAAATATATTATATATATTTTTTTTATATTATATTATGGTTATCAATTACATGTACGATTTTTTTTAATCGAACAAAGCATTCAACTTTATTAGTTAAGTGTAATTAAGTAGGTATATACTTAGGTATAAACAATCTTTTCTCTGTATCAATACCGTAGCTGTAGAAATAGGTAACTAAATTTAATAAAATTAGTAGTTAGTCGAGTTTATTTATTTATGTATTCTTTATAGATTACATTAAAAAACATATACAAAAGGCGGACTTAATGTTATATAGCATTTTTTCCCAGTCAAACTTTGGAAAAATAGAAATAAAATTATGCGGTAAAAAATATTGAAAATTACATACATACATATCTGTCACGCCTGTATCTCATTAGGGTAGGTAGAAACAATGGAACGCCAAATGCTTCGATTAAATAGTTACACTTTGTTGACGTTGTCGAATCACTAGATTTATTGAAAACTTTTTAATTAAACTAATTGTCTGTAACAGAATTGCTCGTACTATGACATTACTATACATACAGAAGTGTCACTGAATAAAACTTTTAGTTTATTGAATATTATTTATCCATATAATATTTTAACTATCGATTACGTACTTATCATTATATAAAATTCAGTGTCGAAACCATTTACTTGTTGTAGTAAAACTGAATTACCTCATATATTCATATATATTATTATCTGTGTCTATACCATAATATCTCTATTATAACATTTACCAAATACTTAAATCTTATTTTTTCGAATTCGAAAAAATTCAATAGCCTAATCAAGATACATTTTACATGCCTGTAAAAATAAAGGAAATTCATATTAATAAGAAAAAGTTTATTAATACATGTAACAAGTAAATGGTTTTCTACTTCTGTAAATATTTATTTAATAAACAAATACGTAGTAGAATTTGTAAAATGGATCACAGTCAAATGTTGAGCAAGTCAAAAATGCTAACCTTAGTAATTTGTGCAACTAAGAAATTATAAAATAATATTTTATATGCTTAAAATAGTTCCTAGGTAGTCATAACTTGTAGGCATAGATTAGAAATATCTATATATCTCAAAGTTATTGTATAGATCTGGGAGTTTTAAATAATAAGGTATCACTTTTTCCGTTTAATTATCAACGTAAATTTGTTGTTTTAGATATTGTTATAATAAAATTTACCATTTGATTGTTAATTTTTTTTATTCTATTTCAATTGCTATTTTCGATTCTTTTACTCTATCTAACCTATCTTAGTTACTAATTGTAATGTTTTGTCTCTTTCTTTAGAATATGTTTCTTATTTTTAAAGAAAATTATAAAAAATCTAGATATATTATAGACGATAAAAGAATCTTAATTATAATTAAGAAAAGTTTATTGGAGGTTTTTTTATTACTTATTATCAACTATGGTCAGCATTTAATATCTCGCTCAACAGCTATCATCATAATTTCAACCATTCGTTGTTATTTAAAATCAATTTGGTATTATCATATTCTAGCCAACTTACCCATAACTTGAAGTTCGAGATTTCCTTTGACACTGTATCCCTGTGAATTCTTAGCTACACAAGTGTAAGTGGCTTGGTCGCTAATACGCTCTACGTTCTCAATAACGAGAGTCCCGTTGGGGAAGACTTTCTGCTTGCGGTTGATGGGTAGAACTCTGCAAAGTAGCATAAAAGATAATTTTATTTCGGTTACATCACAGAAATACTTTAATAGAAGGCTTCTTCGCATCTCTAAAAGGATTTAAATTTTTCAGTCTCTCACAAAATTGGTCTTCATATTAAATTGTACCTCAAGTTGTCACTTTTTATTACCTTTTGTGAAGAGAAAATAAACCATTCATTCATATTTCATACTTCATTTTCCCATTTAATTTTGATTAGAATCAAATATAGTCGAATAGTCGAATTTATCATCAGATGTACATATATATGTAGATGTACTATAACTACTACCTATGTTTTGTCATATTTCGTTTTATATATTTCGTTTTATCTATATATCTAATAGAGGTCATAAATGTACTTCGTTTGTAAGGGGTTAAAAGAAAAGCGTGCATGGCTGAAGTGTACCATAATATTGCACTGACACAATTGTATAATTTATATATGTAGGATCTGTACGTACTTATAACACAATAGTTAAAAAGCTATATAAATCGATTTAATACATAAATCGATTTTGTGTATTTTCGTTACGATTGTCAAGAAAAAGATTAAAAGAGAAAACTCACTTTTTACCAAAAGTGTGTGTAAGGCAAGTGTGCTTTTCACCGTGTGTATTTTACTTATGATTTTCGCCTGTATTATAAAATTTATAGATGTCACAGAATAATATTAAAAAAAAAACTGAACAGTAAAAATTGTCTGCATTTCCTATGATGCTACAAGAATTATATAATTTGTAAATTTCATAAATTGAAACTGACCGGCCATCTCGCTCCCACACAATAGAATCGATGGGATATCCGGCGACGGGGCAGTGGGCGATGAGGGTATCACCGGCAACAACTGGGCGTTTCTTCATAGGGCGGATGTAAGGCAGACCATAAACGTTAACGCGAGCTGAGTGTGAAGCGCTGCCGACCTGAAAGTTTACAAAATTCCATTTTGTAGAGAGACACTTCTCGATGTTTCTGTTTATGTCATTTTATACATTATTTCTTTAGCGAATTAGATATAAATCAGTCACGTAGAATAACTCAATTTAACCATATAAATAAAACTTATATAGTGTTCGTTACATAGGCCTATGTTCAGCAGTGGACAGATAACGGCATATATGATAAATATGATGATAATGATAGTGTTCGTTACTAGGTGTTTTTATTAATATCTGCTAGACGGATTTGGCAAGCTTTTTACTTTCATAATAACTATATACTCATGCTTATTTACACTTTTTGCTACATTTACCTACATATTGGTCGTATAGACATTTCATCAAAATCGGTTCAGTAGTAAAAAAAAATATATTTCAATAGTAGCAAAATCAGTTATTTTAATTTAAAAACTAATTTTGAAATATTTTCAACTACTATTTAAGTATATTTTTATGAGAAACATAATTTACGTAAATATTTGTAAATTTGATTAATAAAAATGAAATAAATAAATATCCTTATTACCCATGAAATTTGAAATTTACACAGGACAAATGAAGCCTGATAAGTCAGCTAGTTTATACAGGATAAAATTAAAATCGTTAGCGGTACATAAAACTAAGAATCTATTCAGCTATAGAATATATTAGGATAGAAATTTCGTTATACAACTATTTAAAAAAGACAAAATATTCTGAATTTCCTGCGCTAATTTGGCAACTGAACGCTCCGTGTTATTTTAGGATACTAAAATTTTTTGTCGTTTTCCAAATTAGTGAAAATGCTTAGTATCACTTTAATCCTGTAATAGAAAGAAATTGTATTTTAATATATTAAAAGTAAGATAGAATACCTTGCTTAGTGCCACACACGAGTACAATCCACCGTCGTTGGTCTGAACTGAGGAGATGTTAAGGTGCGATTCAACATTTCCATCAGCTGTGACAAATTGTCCGATTTGCAGCCGTTCACCGCTGGACAGTTTGTCGCCGTCGAGGAACCACGTGATATCGGGAGTCGGATTGCCGGATGCGATGCATTTCAGCCGCAGCGAAGGACCGGACCGGAGGGTTTGCTCGCCGAAGCTGTGACGAATTTGAGGCGGTTCGACTGAAATTTTAAAAGTTCTATGCAAATCTAGGCTCAAATAATGAATTAAAATGTTTTCTCGGGTCTCCGTTTCTAAATGACATATTAAGTTATAATTTTCATTTATGAAGGTTACGAATACATTATAGCAAGTTTGGAAAAACAAGATCACCTATCATATCAAATTAAAATATAAAGTTTTATATATTTTTCAATGATCAAGAGTACTGTGATCACGAATTAAAACCAGAATTGTACAATATTATTTATATTAAAATATTGGTAAAAAAATCTTTTTAAAATCTATATAATGCAAAATATGACAATGTTTAGATTTCTACTGACAAATTCATTGAAATTTATTTTAAGAGTAATAAAATAGATATTTCGTTAATCCTTCAATGAAATTTTTTAATAGTAAAAATAGTAGATATATGCACATAATGGTACATACAACATTAATGCTCTTAATTAGGAGTCTCTAAATTGTATATGACGATGCGCCTGTCTGTTGTGCTGTACCACACCTAGTACTTTATTTAAAACTCAAATTTAATAAACATATAAATATATAATAGGTGTAGGTATAAAGAAACAAATTTATACTGACTCATATAATTATGGTATATACTCACATCGTCCTCCAAGTTTCAGTTCAGCGCTAGCACCGGCACTCTCCTGGTCATTCCGAATAAAACACTGATACATGCCCTTGTCCTCTTTCTTGACCGATTCGATTCTGTAAATTAATACCATTATACATACATTTAAATTTGATTGTATTTATATCGTATCTTTCGTTTGTAACCCAGGTTCATTAGTTTTGTATTTTTAGTTATTGGTGGTTAATCGATTTAAGATCAGACTTGATTACTTCTAGTTATCAACATAATAACATAAGTAGGTATATTCTTCTCCCTGGCTAGTTACCGTATTTCTACGCAAAATTTTTTCGTAAAAAATGCTTATGATTAACATATATACAACAAAAAGCATCTATAATTTATTTCGGTGCGTGTCAAAGTTTACGTAACATTTAATTACGTTATAATATTTAAATAGTATAACCTCAAAACAGCATCATGATGGTTCATGTCCTTGCCGTCCTTTAACCAAGTAACAGTTTTAATGGGGTTGCCTTCATATTTGCAAGTGAATACAGCGGGTCGTCCAAAATCTACAGTTTGTGTCGCTGGCTCAACAGCAGCTTTGAGGGGAGCGGTTACAGTCAAAACAGTTTCTACTGATTCGCCTGAAATACATGTTAAATAGATATAATTTGCGTACTTCAAGGTTACTTGCGTAAAATATCTCATATAGCTAAAATAATTATTCAACTCACCTCCTACAGAATTGTTTACAACACAAAGATACTTTCCGGAGTCCTCAACTTTTGCCTCTTTAATGATCAAGGTACCAGACACTTGTTTTACTCTATCATTAAGTGTTACTGGTTGTTTACGTGTCGATCCGTCAATAAATTTATACCATCTGAAACAAGAGAGAATAAGTTTAGGTAATGTTCTATTAATATTACAATCAGAGGCAAAATAAATTATTGATTTATATTAATTAAAGCTGGTATTGCGTTTATAAATTAAAAAGGGGGAAATTATTTTCTATATTCCAACTAGAGCCGTCAATCACGAAACAACAACAAAATAACTTTTCGAGACACTGCCCTTTGTTTTTAGAAAAATAAAGTCTTCTAAGATTGCAAAATTTTAAGAAGAAACATAAATGCAGCCCATCGCAATAATCATCATATAATTTTCTCACGCCATTCATATGATTCAAATATGTAAGTCAAACAAAACTACCTACAATCTAAAAATACAGAACTACCACATCAATTGGAACTTAGGTTGTATTTAATATCCAATAAATTATGTTAACTGTAGCCGTTTTTTTTTAAAAAGCACAAAGTAAAGATTAGAAGCGGCTGTATAAAGCAAGAACACCCTGACACTTACCAGGTGTCTACGCTGCTCAATCGTTACTTTGGCTGGGGATGGTAATAGAGGCACGCGGCCGGCCGCGGTTCGTCACGCCTTCATGTCACGTGTGGGCGGGCCCACCGCCGCAACAGACTGCAATAACAACTCACATCAGTACATTGGAATGATATGGTGTGCTCGTGATAAATGAATGCGTGAGATGCCGACGACCGGCCATAAAGAATTAACAACAGTACCTCATTAAAGGAGCAGGGAAAGCTTGGACTTCACAAAGTAGTGCGAGACTATTATTATTTCGACCTACAAGACGATTGAGGCCATCGCCTGTCCCTTTTGGCCCGGTCCTACCAGTCGGCTCTGGAATAAAAACCGACAATCAACAACTATCCTTTAACACTCACCTAAATAAAGGCGATGGGAAAGCAGAAACTTGACATGTCATATAAGCCACATCTTTTTGCGGCACGAAGAAAACTTCCCAACCTTCAAAAAGTTTAGTAGACTCTTTTCTAGGGGCAATTTTATTTGTTGGCTCTGTAATGACAGGGACGACTCTTAGGTGAAATACAAGACTAAAGCTCTCAAATCGATGGTAAAAAGTGAGTTTTTTTTTTTTTTATTTAAATAAGACGTTTTAACTATAGATCAAGGGCTTACCTTTTTAGATGACAAACACGTGCTGTACCTCGCGGCGGTAGTGATTAGCAGATCGTATAATATCAATATTTGAAACTTACCTAAACCGGGGTGCAGGGAAACCCGTTACATCACAGGTAAGATAAACAGATTCTGCTTCAGAGACTAGAAAAATTTCACCACCTTCGAATTTTCTACTTTTATCACTTCGCGGAGCAATTTTATTTGTTGGTTCTGCAATATGCGAGATTTAATAGAAACGCACCTTGATATCGGTATGGGATATCCCTGCGCAGGGCAGACAAATGCCACTGAATGTTTTTGAGGATAATGTACAGCAGCTTTTGATGTTGCAGTAATACTTGGCGCTGAACTTGTGATTGGTTCTATAGGAACATTTTTAATATTCTTTGAAGATCCGGTAAATTTTAAACGAATAACTAGGTATGTTTAATGATAGTTAAACTTGCCTGAATGTTGGTATCGGAAAAGCTTGAGCTTGGCATAATAATCCAAAGCTTTGATTAATAGTTCTTATAAAAGTAATACTGCGGGCGTCGTTTGAGAAAGTAGGTGTTTTGAAGCCAACTGGTTCTGTAGTTAAAAAATTAGTAACTTTTATTTATATCATTCAAATACTACACTTGCCTGAAATTTGGAGCAGGATAGCTTTGAGCTTGACAGAGTAGAGCAAAGCTTTGTCCAATACGTTTTCTAAATATACTACCCATAGACTCAGTCGAAAATGTAGGAGATTTTGCGCCAACTGGTTCTATAAAATTGGAGACTATTAGATATCTCATAGAAGAAATTATATCAAAAATATGAAAGAGAACTTGCCTGAAAACTGGTACTGGATATGCTTGAGCTTGACATAGTAAGACAAAACTTTGATTTTCATGTCTTTTAATAGATGACAAGGTTGATTCACTCGAGAAAGTAGGGACTTTAAATCCAACAGGCTCTGTATAAAATAATATACGAGTATGTAGCTATATTAGCCGAATTACTATATTACTACAGATATACAAATATTGTGAAACAGTATTCAATAATCGCTTCATAGTAGGCAATATCAGAAATATTTCAGTAAGAATAGACTAGTAAAATAATACAATAAGGGCACTTGCCTGAAAAATGGGATAGGGAAAGCCTGGGCTTGGCACATCATTGCAAAACTTTGACCTCTATATCTTGTTACTGCTGATAACGTAAAATCTGTAGAAAATGTCGGCGGCTTGGAACCCACTGGCTCTGTATAAGAAAAATGGAAATATTTTTTATTGACTTACCTAAAAATAGGAGTAGGAAATGCTTGTGCCTGGCAGAGAAGTGCAAAACCTTGTCCAATTTCTCTGATAAATATACTGCCTTTGGAGTCAGTAGAGAAGGAAGGTGCTTTTGCACCAACGGGTTCTAAAATGAAATATGTACTCTTAACGTCTCATCCTACCTGAATTTCGGTTGAGGATATCCTTGCGCTTGGCAAAGCATTGAACCACCAGAGGACGCTTCTATATTGTAATTATAAGATGATGCGGATGTGGGGAATGCCGGAGCTCGAGCAGTAACTGGTTCTAAACCCAAGAAATAAACATCTAAGTATTGTGCACTCACTTGAATAAAGGAGGGGGGTGAGCTTGAGCTTGGCATAGTAATGTTATTGCTTGTACGGCCAGTTTTGTAACCGTAGTGCTTTTGAATTCCAATGAAAATGACGGCGCCTTTGATCCGATAGGCTCTGTGACAATTTGATCGAAATAGTTGAAGTTTATAAACTTACTTTTCTTACCTGAACATTGGGACAGGAAATGCTTGGGCTTGACAAAAAAGAGCGAAGTCTTGCTCAGTTCTACGCACTATTCCTGAGAATTGTACGTCATTTGAAAATGTGGGAGATTTCGATCCTACAGGTTCTAAAATGGAAAAATAGGCATATTTATTCACCTGAATAGCGGTACAGGAAAACCTTGAGCTGGGCATAGTATGTTTAAACTTTGACCAATTTTCCTCATATACCAAGAAAATTTGTTATCAGTTGAAAAGGAAGGCGACTTCGTTCCTATGGGCTCTAGAATTAAGAAATTAATAATATTAGCAATTAAAATACCTGTATACAGGAATAGGGTAACCTTGGGCTGGACAAAACAATGCTAATGTTTGTTGTATTGGTCTAATAAACCATGCTAATCTGTCGTCTGTGGAAAACGTGGGTGGCTTCGAACCGATGGGCTCTGTAATATATTATAAATATTAATAATTCTCACCTAAACAGTGGAACTGGGAATCCCTGGGCTGGACATAATAGGGCAAAATCCTCATTGGCTTGAATTTCAAACCATTGCAGTTTAGACCCACTTGAAAACGAAGGACTTTTGGATCCTATTGGTTCTAAAATTGATGATTAATTAGAGCATATAGTACCTGAATATAGGTGCTGGATATCCCTGCGCTGGGCATAATAATGCAAAGCCTTGCATAACGTCCTTAACATACCATGCCATTTTGAAATCCATAGAAAAAGTAGGAGATTTGGAACCAACAGGCTCTAAAACAAATTGTATTTACCTATATACTCGTTGAAACTCACCTAAATACTGGGACTGGAAATGCTTGCGCCAGACAAAGTAAAGTTACGTTGAAATCCCTTGCAAATTCCACAAATTCTATAGTTTTAGTTGGAACTTTGGGTGGGGCGCTATTAATTGGCTCTAGAAGAAAATTATTAAAAGTAATAATACCCTTATTTATTACCTGTATAAGGGCACTGGAAAAGCTTGAGCAGGACACAGTAGCGTCACGCTTGCGTTAACAAATGTATTAAAGCCCCTAACATTATCCAAAGTAGGGAACTTTGGCGGGACTCTTCCTACAGGCTCTGAAGATAATAATCCCAAAATAGCGTCAATTTTATAATACTCAAATAATCTATTACCTGAATATTGGTATAGGGTGAGCTTGTGCTGGACAAAGTACTGTTATTGTACCATTGGATGAACCTTCGATAATATCGATCATTTTAGTAGCAACCTTAGGGGCAGCACTACCCACGGGTTCTATAGAAAAAGAATGTTACGTATAATTCTATTGTAAAATATAGTCTCAGGATATATATACCTGAAAATTGGAGTAGGATATGCTTGAGCAGGACATAATATTGTAACGTTGTCGTCTCTTTTAGCATCAAATGCGCGACTTTTATCCCCGCTAGTGAATTTAGGTGAAACACGACCGACAGGTTCTATGAAAAAATAGCTATCATTATTCGTTTAGAAATTTACCTGAATAATGGGACCGGGAAAGCTTGTGCCGGACATAATAGCGTTAAACTGGTGCTAAGCAAACTGCTGAAACTTCTTGAGCTATCCATCGAAGGAAATTTAGGCGAAACTCGCCCAACTGGCTCTAAGAACACAAGAGTAACATGAATAACAATACCTGAACATTGGAATTGGAAATGCTTGTGCTGGACAAAGCATTGTCACACACGAATTCCAAGTAAAAGTAAAGCTGCGTCCAGTTTCAATCGATGGAAATTTTGGAGAGACTTTCCCCATTGGTTCTGTTACAGACAAATTAAAAATTACCTAAATAATGGAGCGGGAAATCCTTGTGCAGGACAAAGCAAAGGTACGTCATCACCAGTATTTGCTATGAATGTTCTACTAAAAGCTTGAGCAGGACACAGTAGCGTCACGCTTGCGTTAACAAATGTATTAAAGCCCCTAACATTATCCAAAGTAGGGAACTTTGGCGGGACTCTTCCTACAGGCTCTGAAGATAATAATCCCAAAATAGCGTCAATTTTATAATACTCAAATAATCTATTACCTGAATATTGGTATAGGGTGAGCTTGTGCTGGACAAAGTACTGTTATTGTACCATTGGATGAACCTTCGATAATATCGATCATTTTAGTAGCAACCTTAGGGGCAGCACTACCCACGGGTTCTATAGAAAAAGAATGTTACGTATAATTCTATTGTAAAATATAGTCTCAGGATATATATACCTGAAAATTGGAGTAGGATATGCTTGAGCAGGACATAATATTGTAACGTTGTCGTCTCTTTTAGCATCAAATGCGCGACTTTTATCCCCGCTAGTGAATTTAGGTGAAACACGACCGACAGGTTCTATGAAAAAATAGCTATCATTATTCGTTTAGAAATTTACCTGAATAATGGGACCGGGAAAGCTTGTGCCGGACATAATAGCGTTAAACTGGTGCTAAGCAAACTGCTGAAACTTCTTGAGCTATCCATCGAAGGAAATTTAGGCGAAACTCGCCCAACTGGCTCTAAGAACACAAGAGTAACATGAATAACAATACCTGAACATTGGAATTGGAAATGCTTGTGCTGGACAAAGCATTGTCACACACGAATTCCAAGTAAAAGTAAAGCTGCGTCCAGTTTCAATCGATGGAAATTTTGGAGAGACTTTCCCCATTGGTTCTGTTACAGACAAATTAAAAATTACCTAAATAATGGAGCGGGAAATCCTTGTGCAGGACAAAGCAAAGGTACGTCATCACCAGTATTTGCTATGAATGTTCTACTAATATCTCCCGTGGGAAATTTTGGTGATACTCTTCCCATCGGTTCTATGGAAATAACATTGGAATCTTATGAGAATTAGTGAAAAATGTACATATGTATATATGTATAGTAAGTATATCTTGTGTCTTACCTAAATACTGGGATAGGGAAAGCTTGCGCAGAACACAATATCGATATTGTTTGATTTGCATTAAAACTGAAAAGTCTACTTTTTTCAAGAGACGGAAATTTTGGTGATACTTTCCCCAAGGGCTCTGTAGTAAAAATACATTATTTTTACATATTGGAGGTAAATTTGAGAAAACACTAACAACTATTATTACTCAATACACATAAGACATAATACAACTATAATAAGTCATCATTGTTTGATAAATTCAATACTATGTATATATTACAAAGATACCTGAAAAGTGGGACTGGAAACGCCTGCGCGGGACATTGTAATGTAAAAGGATCATTTTTCTTAATTCCAATCATTGTTCCCATAACAACAGAAGCAAATTTTGGCGGAACACGACCGACAGGTTCTATAAAAAGTTATTATTAAAAAGATCATTTTGTTATTTATTATTTACCTGAATAGTGGGGTTGGGAATGCTTGTGCAGGGCACTGCAACGCATAAGATTCATTTTTCTTAACTTCGAACATAGTTCCAGTTAGTACACTTGCAAATTTAGGAGGAACTCGGCCCACCGGTTCTAGAATTATTTTCAAAATACATAGGATTTGATATAAGAAAATGTTATAGAGACAGAGAAAGCCTTTGCAGGACATAATAATCAGAATATTGATGCTGTTAAAAATATGATGTCGCCTAGTACTATGGACAAATTATTTGATACGCACCCTATTCACACTGATGAAATATGTGCATAACGTCGATAATTTAAGAATTCTTACCGGTATAGTGGTGCAGGGTAAGCCTGCGCAGTGCAAAGTACTGCGAGACTGGAGTCCACCATAAACTGGAATCCGCTTGTTGTCATCGCGCTAGGGAACTTGGGAGGTACTCGGCCCACAGGCTCTGCGCATGTTGGGAGAAGGTGGATTTGGAGAATGGACACAAAACGTCAGAAAATGTGCACTACATATAAGTAACCTGACAGACCCCTACTTTCTCTATGGCGATTTATCTTATAAAGTATCGTATTAAGAGTGACGAGTAAAGACCCTGCAGGGTACCCTATCCCAACATTCAGGCAAGTTTACACTTTTACACAAAGTTTATGGTGTAGGTCTATATATATATATCCATAAACTTCATGAAAACAATTACGCTGTCAATTAGTAGGTACTTATTCTATTAAATTTAAAAACATTTTCAAAATCGACCAGGATTCCATCAATGATAATAATTTTCAATTATTGTTATTATAAGAGATAGAATAAATACCATGATGGCAAAGCAGAATATCTACATCATAATTTTTTTAAGTCATTCCATATAAATAAAATCCAGATTATAATATACTGATAGTAGTTTAAATTAGAATAGTAGAAACTGTAAATCATTAAAAAAGAAAAGTATTCTGCTAAGCTTATTTTTAATAAATACTGTAAATTGATAGAAAAGAAAGACTGTGAAATTTATATTTTCCCTAGTAACTATTCCTATATATATATTAATTATTATCCAGCATAATATCAAGGCAATGATTTTAATTGTAAGAAAGTAACAATTTATTTATTTAAATATATTTTTCACAGTCATTTATATCATTGCACTACAAACTCACTGTATTAAATATATTCACTTTGTATATTATAAATAGGTAGTATATTCTTTTTTGAACAATTTTAAGGTAAAAGTAACATTTACTGTTAATTAATTACTGTATAAAATGAATTTGTAATACGAATGGAATTGCTAAAACGAGCTAAGTTTACTTACCAGTGATGACTAATCTTCCTTTAGTAGCCGACAAGCGTGTTTCGCCAGTAAGTCTATGTTTAGTTCGGCACTGATACGATTTGTATCCATCCTCGGGACCAACATCTCTGATATGTAATTCACCAGATGGTAGTACTAAATATTTCCCCTCTGTATACAAAAAAATAATAATTGTATCTTCTGCCAACAGAATATAATTAAAAAAAATAAAATGTAAACTCTCAATTTAAATCAATTATATTTATGGCAAAGCAACTTAAGGTTGCATTTACTTATAAAAGTCATTGCATGCATTAACCTAAGGAAGGAGGAAGTAAGGATAGGTAGGTCGTTAGACCCGTGGAGCTATAGGAACCCAAAAATAAGGAACACAACCCTAAGCCCTACATTCAAGGATTTATGAAGTTGGATAGAGGCCAAAAGTATATGGCAAATTACAACTGTAAGGTTTATACCGTCTAAGTTATTGGCGGAATCTAGTTTGATCTCAAGCACCTCGCTATCCTCGCTGATGATCCATGAAATGACAGTGACGTACTCTGAGACGAAGCTTGGTATATGACATTTCAAAATAGCAGCGTTACCCCGTAAAACGTACTCCTCCATTAGATTAACGGCGTATGCCTGAGAAACAACTGAAACAGATTTAGAATTCGAATCATCAAATACACCCCAAAGATTTTTTAGATTTCGTTTCGTCATAATCTAGTAAAGATTGATGAAGTACTCACAACTAGTTGGAACAGAGCGGGATAAAAAGGAAGAGGATCTAATCGGGATAGTTTTATAGAGTGGAATACCTAAATCTGAAGACTCATCAATTTTTACTTCCTGTGTATTATCATCTTCGGAAATTATCCAGGAAGTTACCGAAACATATTCTGATACAAAACTTGGAATTTGACATTTCAAAATGACCGCATTACCCCGCAAAACATATTCTTCCCAAAACTTCACATCATAAGATTGTGATACAACTGAAATAATCGAATAAATGGTTGTTTAAAAATACACAACAATACATACATTAAACCCTATTTGAAGTTATTGTACCAAGACTTTGAAGTGCAATGCATTTGCAGATGAGATAGGAAGTTCCGGAAGGAATGTGCATGGGAGTTATTTCAATACTAGGTACCTAAATTTAAATCAGAGTCTAAATTTATCTCGCCCTTATCATTGTCCCCCTCTGAGATAATCCAGGAAGTGACTGTGACATACTCGGTGACAAAGCTTGGTATGTGACATTTTAATATAGCAGCATTTCCGCGTAAGACGTTTTCTTCCCACAAATTTACCGTATATGATTGAGACGCCACTGAAATGGATAACTAAAGATAATTGAGCATTTTTACGAGGATGTTAAGGATGCTGTAGGATATACCATACTGAAATGTTGTTTATTTGTAAAATACCTAATGTCAAGGATTCATTTATTTTAATTTCTATTTCATCAACATCGCTTTCAGAAATTATCCAAGATGAAACAGTCACGTATTCAGTTACAAAACTTGGTATATGGCATTTAACTATTGCTGAATTCCCTCGTAGAACATTTTCTTCCATTAAGTTTACTGTATATGCCTGAGAAACAACTGGAAAGACAATACAAAATTTGTGACGAATAGAAAGTTAGGAATAATTGAGGAAATTGGGTCATAAAAATCCGAGTTACTACTACATAGATACCCAAATCATGACTTGATTCTGCATTAATTTCCAATTGATCTGTTCCTTCTTCAGATACTATCCAAGAAGAGACGCTTACATATTCTGTGACGAAGGTGGAAATATGACATTTCAATATAGCAGCGTTCCCCCGCAATACACTTTCTTCCATAAGATTGACTGTGTAAGCTTGTGACACTACTGCAATATGAATGTTGCTTTTAGCAAATAAATTTTGTACCAAATGGATTTAGAAGGAATTTAGGAATTGTAACTTATATAATGCTATGACATTTTTAGGTACCCTCTGTATTTCGCGTATCATTGGCGGTAATTTCGACATTGTTATCATCTTCAGATATTATCCATGAGGCAACTAATACGTATTCAGATACAAAACTTGGAATAAGACATTTCAAAATAGCAGTATTTCCTCTTAAAACGTTTTCTTCGACCAAATTAACTGTATAAGCTTGAGAAACAACTGAAAATATTGACTTATATAAGATAACGTAAATGAAATGGATGGAGAGGGATGTGAAGAACGAATAATATTATAATCCTTAACGATACCGTAGTTCTCGTTTAGTAAATACTCTCCGCCTTCAGTATCGTGCCAAGAAGTTACTTGCACATGATCGGATACAAACGAAGGAATGTGGCATTTGAACACGGCAGCATTACCCCTTATTACATATATATCATACACCTGTGATTCGTAGAATTGGTTGACAGCTGAAATTTTGTACATCCATTAAAAGTACATCTGAATATGTCCAAATGGAACCTCAGGGACTTAGCGGAGAGCGGATAGGAACAATTGGGGTCGCGCGGGCGCTCGATTACCGTAATTGTCGCCGGAGCTATTCAACGAAAACGCAGAGAGGGACTCTTCGTTAGTCACCCATTCCACAACATGAACATAATCTGCCACGAATGATGGGATAATACATTTAACGATTGCCGAGTTGCCACGTAAAACATCTTCATCGATGACACGAGGTTCATAATGTTGGTGCACCACTGTAGATATACAAAACAACTATCGGCTAATTAAATAAAATCAATAGAATTTTGGGATTTGAGAATTCAGGAAATAGAACCTTATATATGACTTAAATATAATTGTTTACTACCGGAATCTGTATTTCTGTGTTCTTCAGCAGTAATAGTATCGTTGTCCATAACCCATGCTATGATCTGAACAAAATCAGCAACGAAGGAAGGAACTATGCATTTCAATATAGCTGTATTTCCCTTCAAGACAAATTCATCATTGACTCTAGCCTCATATATTTGAAGGACCGCTGTGACAAAAATATTATGATGGAACTTTGGAATAGGAATATTAGTCTACTTTGAGGAGTTACCCTCATTGTTTCCATGATGGTATGTGCCTCCATCACTGTCCATCCACATTTCAACAGATACAAAATCGGAGACAAAACTGGGTACTTCGCATTTCATTATAGCTGCATTACCACGAATAACGTACTCGTTGTCCGCTTCAGCTTCATATGGTTGTGATACCACTAAAGATAATTTGTGTGTAATTTAAAGTAGCATTGACAACCTGGGAGTAAGGACAATATGAAGGATGTGAATATTTTAATTAAAGTTTTTAGAAAGAGTACCATTAGATGTTTTTGTATTATTAATTGTGAGTATTTCACCATCATCTATTAACCATGCTTCCACACGTACGAAGTCGCTAACAAAAGATGGAATCTTGCAGTGGACAATAGCAGTATTCCCTCTAATCACGTACTCATTTTCGGCTTCGGTCACGTAATACTGCGACACGACTGTAGAATAATAAATAACTGCTTATAAGGAATGACAGATTTGAGTAGTAAGGATATAAGATAAGTACAGGAAGCAGGTATGTAAAATAACATTTGGCGACACTATTTTTACCGAGGTCCTTTGAATGACTAATCACGGTCCCTTCTTCATCAATCCAAGCCTCTACTTTTACAAAATCCGCAACAAAAGATGGTATAGAACATTTTAATACAGCAGCGTTTCCTCTTATAACATATTCAGTGAGAATCTCGGCTTCGTAGAATTGATTTACTACTGTAAAGCGAACGTTTAAAATACAGTATTAAGGAATAGGTGGCACCGTATATAATAGGGAACGAAATCTAAGGATAAGGATATATTTATTAATATGACAAAATCATATACCGATATTATCGGTAAGCAAATATTCTCCTTTATCCGAATCAACCCAAGCCTCCACTTTAACGAAGTCAGCAACGAAAGATGGTATGTTACACTTTAGTACAGCTGTGTTTCCTCGAATGACATACTCTGAGACTACTTCAGCTTCGTAGTATTGAGTTACGACTGCAATACAAATATTGACACTGACGAGATGGATTGGTGTTTAATAATAGGAAGGATAACGGATTTATAAATTTCACTTTTTTTTTTGTACCATCTCCTTCCTTTGATCCTTCAATAGTGAAAGAGTTTTCTAAATCATCGTGCCAAGATATGACACTTACAAAGTCTGCTACGAATGATGGAATAGAGCATTTCAGAATAGCAGAATTTCCACGAATTACGTATTCGTTATTTACTTCTGATTCATACTGCTGCTGCACCACTGCGAAATATTGATGTTGTTATTATAGGAGATTTTTATATGCTCATATAAAGAGAAAATAAGGGGGGTAGGGGAAAGGAATATTCATTTGGAAGGATCGCAAACTAGTATTAATGTGGTTTTGAAATTGACCGTAGTTTTCGCCAGGAATGAAATCTTCGTTCTCATCGGTGTGCCAAGACAATACGTCTATGAAATCAGCGACGAAGGATGGAACCTGACATTTTAGCACGATACTATTCCCCATTATAACATACTCCTTGTTGACATCAGTATCATAGTGCTGCGCAACCACTGATATTCATAAATGAAATGATTGTCAATTTATTTTATCATTAACATATTTACCTACACAATAAAAGCAATAAAAACTACCTATTAAATTATATTGGCCAACCAACCTAAGGAAACAACAACAATAATTTATACTGCAAATAAAATTTAGTTTAGAATAATTTTTAAAATGTTTTGAAAATTCTTGAAAAAACACATTTTTTTTTAATTATTAAAAAATATAATTTCATCTTTATCTACAACTCAGCAGGAAGTTTTAAAATATAATATAAATATGTATTTTCAATTTAATATGTGAATCAAAGTTTAATTTGTTTAAAAATATGTGTAATAATTCCATAATTTTTTTTTCTTTTTATGGTCACATTTGAAATACATATTTATTTGTATATTTTTTATGTCAATTAGGTATATCGCCTACTAAGAGAAAACCAGACAACGAACATAAATATCACATGCACTGTTTACAAAAGGTATGGAAATATGAATCATTATTGAATACTAACTTTTACCCCCAACTTCGTCCACGTAACCGAGATATGCTTATTGACCGGGATAAAAACAAATCTATATCCTTCTCATAAAATATCATCATCATTTCAGTCATTATCCGCTAACTACTGGACATAGGCCTCTTCCATAGACCGCTATAAGGAACGGTCCTGAGCTACTTGAGTCCACTGACTCCTTACAATGCATTTGAGATCATCACTTAATCTAGTGAGGGGTCGTCATATACTGCGTTTGCTCGTATGAAGTCGCCACTCAAGAACATTTCTTCTTCATCGGATGTCAGATCTTAGAGCTGTGACCAGCCCATTGCCACTTTAGCTTGCTTGTCCTTCAGGCTATGTCGGTTATTTTTGTTCTTTTGCGAATATCTTCGTTTTGGATTCTATCACGCAAAGAAAGTCCGAGTATAGCCATAGCTCACTGAGTAATTTAAAGCTTTTGCATATGGGTAATCGTGTAGGACTATGTTTCGGCTCCATAAGTTATCACTGGCAACACGCACTGGTTAAAGAACTTCCGTCCTCAAACTGAGGTATTTTGGATAAAAAGACGTGGCGTAGTTTTCCGAACGTTGCCAAGCTGAGTTGGATTCGTCGATTGACCTCTCGGTCGAAGTTGGATTAATCCATTCGGACAACTTGTCCCAGGTATATACATTTGATTGCGCCATGATTACTATGTCAACGGCAAATGAAAGGTGAGTGATGTATTCACCATTGACGTTTATACCATATCATTTCCAGTCCAAAATTTGAAAAAAAATTCCAATGCAGCTGTGAAGAGTTTACTGGGATGTATTTCGTATTCTGGTTCTGTACTCGGATAGATATCGTAGCCTTACTGTGCATACGATACAACAGTTCTATATACCTATAGTCAATCTGGCGCCGCTGGAGTCATATAACTAAAATAATCGATTAATTTTCATTTCGATAGTTCGTCTCGCGTCTTCTGATTAAACAATTAACCCCATTTGACCTGGCCCTTTGCTCATAAAGGGCGCCGTTCTGTGACAACTAATCGACCATTTTACATGTTAATAAACCAATTTCAAAAACTGAAATGAAAATATCTAGGTATATACATTTATTATTACAATTTATAACTAATACGCTGTCTATACTGTTACTATAGTATTTATATGTAAATAGATGAACATAGTGTTTCTTTATATATTGGTCATAGGTTTTTACATAATACTCGTAATATAAACGAAATATATTTATTTGAATTTGGTACTTACGAATACGTATACATAAATTAAAAATACGTTTACATAAAATTGTTTTAGGGTCTTTTCTTAATTGTTGACAGATTTTGAAAAAATAACATTTTCCAAATTGATCTGTTGTTCACTGTCTGGTTTTTCATATAATAATAATTAACGTAAAGAGTCGGCAATTAGTATTTTTTTAAACTAACTTGAAAATCACAGCAAGCGTAATCACCACTATTTTTATATTATTATATTTAAAATAAAACGAAAATATATATCATATACTGTTCATCCCCCTTGGGGGGTTTTGCCAGTATTTGACACACTGTTGGCAGGCGGATTGGCAACCGCAGTCAGGCTTTAGAGATGTTTTAAGATGGATGCTACTGCCCATCCCTCGCCCTCCCTTAGTCGGCTTTTACGACACCCACGGGAAAGGAAGGGGTGGGCCTATTCTATGCTGGGATCACACAGCAAAACGAAAATATACATTCGGTAACTAATTAAAAAAAAACATTAAAAATAGTAGTGATTATACACTTACATAATGTGTACTAACTCTTATTAGGTACTTAACTAGTGTTATTAATTAATTTACAAATCTAAAAGTTTTCAATTTTTGGAGTAAAAATTTTTTCTTTAACATTATTTGATATAAAAAAATATATAATTGAACGGGCTTATTTAATTATATATTTATATTCAAATTTTGTCAGAATTTAAGCATTTTGATGTTTAATAGATTACTTTAAATATAATATACTTTACAACTTTCTTAAATCTAGTTAAATATTTCTCTAATTAGAAAGAGTTTTCTTTTAAAATAAATTCAAGATTGGATTAGTATCTCCACATTTTGTGAATTTTACTTAGGTAGATACTTCACTTATACGTATTTTGTTAACTTATTGTTTATAAAAACCTAATAAAATACGTCAATGAAGTGAAAATTAATAAACAAAATTATTGAACTTACCAGCTCGTACGTTAACATCTCGGGAGTGGATGGTACCAACTGGATTTCTAGCTAAACAAGCGTACACTTGGGCATGAACCTCTTGACGATAATCCTCAGCACGGAACGGAGGAAATACGAGGTTACCATTCGGCAAGACCTGGCGATGAAAATATTAATTGGTAAATTATTTGTAGATACTTTACAGTTTATTCACGATTGCACATAGTACATAAATAACTACATGAATCCCTTTACAGAACATATTTAATATATATTATTATTATCTATGTAATATTTTCAACCTATGTCAAATAGAAAAGAGATTCTTAATTCGGTTGCACGTATATTTTCTTTATATTTTTTACCTCATAACTCCGTCCTCATAAATCGATTTGGGATTTTTTTATGTACAAGAATATACTTAAAAATCAGTACAATAGAACTTTTATCAAAATCAGTTTAGTACTTTAGTTTTGAAATGAAAATAACTGATTTCGTCACAATTGATGTCAGACTTTTATGTGGAACACTTAAATTATTTCATTTTAACTAATTACTCTATTATATATGCGAAATCACTCTCACGAAACATATTATACCATACACCCTTTCTAGTACAGTAATTGTTCTAACCGCTTTCTTGCATTGTGATAAGGAAAAATGTCATATCGTCCACCTTTCAGAGCTATCTATTTTTCTTATACTTAGGTTTCAATAAAAATGACAAAAATTATCTTCAGTACTTGGTTTGAAAGACATAATTGATCGTGAGTTTCAAAGTAACTGATACCAAAATGTTGTGTCTATTATATTTCAGACAGGAGACAATAACTACACGTACATCCGATCGAGAATTGAACCCGGAGTCATTTATACACTCGTACATATTTCATTATGCGGTTGTGACAAAGTCGTGACAAGGAACGTGCTTGTGTTGTCCGTCATAAATTATTTTGAAACAAAAATAATGGTAACGTGTTGCTTTACAAGACTTTGAACTTGTTATTTATGTTAATACTTCAAAGAAAGTTGACTTATGATTTGAGGTATGAGTTTATTTATATTATTGCTACTTATATATATGTTATTTATATTTTACTCGCGATTTTGTCTGCCGTACAGAAATATATTAGTTGACCAGGATAAAAGTATCCTTATCTTTTTGCTTTCCAAATACTAATTTTTTTTTTCAATTATACAATTCACAATTAACAGATAACAAACAGCAAACTTTTACATTTCTAATATGAATAAGATTTAATTTATAAAATAATATGTTCTTTTCATGTTATACATGTTATAATTAATAACAACTAATTATGGCAGGTATGCACGTAATTTTGTTGTAATTAATAACGTTAAGGTACCGAAAAGTATTAAACAAACAGTATCAGTAGGAACTCATTTACATCGTGTCAAAAACTATATAAGTTTTTGACACGATGTAAATAAGTTTCAACCCAAACCATAAAATTAATCATTTTATCAATCTGTTGTAATACCAACACGTTGTGAGAATGATCTATTTATTAGTTGAAGTCCCACAGGTTAACTCCATCATCACCGTTAATAATGGTTAGTTCTCCACTGTTAGTATGTGTAAACATAAAAGTTGGAACACGTGATTCGCTTTTAAATGAGGCCTCTAAAACTTCGAGACTCTTAGATTGGTACAAATGGTTAGTTTTATAGCTGCAATGACAAATTAATTATATAAACAACTGCTATTTTTACAACTGACCTAGCACCATTATTATTATTAGCGCAATTAAGTGCTCCTTAATTATAATTATATGTACCTTATAAAGTTTTTTATTAGTATTTAAAAATTATGTATACCCTAAAGACCCTAATATTATCTGAATAACAGGATCTTTAGGTAAAAGAGAAAGAAGTAAGTACATCATAGTCTAGTCTAATTGACTAGATCAGTTTTTTGACCTGTAATTTTAGTATGGTCACAGATAATTGGGTATTGTGCTGAATATTTAAAGTCAAATAATAAAAGTTTTTGTTACGTGTAAAATTAAAATATATACTTACAAAACATTTCACTCGTATAAGTAAATCATGAAATCAGTCAGACTCGAAACAGTTTAGAAAAATTCGTTTTCTAAATTGGCCCGAAAGAAATTGGAATCGGGCTCGGGACTTTGTTTACGCAAAGCAACGTGCCCATCACAACTTCACGAGGTCATCAAATTGTAGTTATCCGTAAAGTACATATGTATATACACGTAAATTTTTCGTTGCATAGGTCGTGGTTGTACGAACCTGTCGTAATCCGGGGACATCTCCGACAGCAGTTCCATCAGCTCGGACCCAAATGACGTCGGGAGCGGGGGATCCTCGGGCAGCACATTCCACTACGGCACCGGTCGTGTTACTGAAGTCAACTCGATTTGGGGGTTCCTTCATAAATATGGGTCCTATCGTCTCGTCCTCACACGACACTGACCCTGCGAAAAAACAGTCAAACGTTACTTTCCTTTATTAATTAGGGAATTGTAATAAATACAAATATAGTCGTACCAGAATGCGTATCATCATCATCATTGTAGCCATTATCTGTCCACTGCTGAACATAGGCTTCCTCCATAGTATGGAATGCCTATAACATTGTATTATTGTATACTAGCTATTGTTACTAGATGGTGTATCAAGATAAAACACAACGAATTTTAAGATCGATTTTTAGTATTATTAGATATGCAACTATGAAACCCCTTGCTAAATATTGTTTTAATTTTTATTGCTATTATTAAGACTCCTCGAATCAATTGTATTTATACAGGTACGCCAATATCCATCCGTTTTGTGCGTTAATACATAAATTTAAAAAATCATGACATAAAGGAAAATATAAAATAAAGTTGATACTAAATATAAGATTCGGCTTGCCGTTATATATATTTTTTTTACGAGTGAAAATGAATTGATTACCTCGCCTGCACTTTTGATATAAGCTTGCGGGGCACCAGTGAGAAATAATGCTGCGCGAAGGACGATCTGATAGGGTATATTGCTAGCAATGTGACTGTTAGAACTCGTCATTAATAATCCATTTACCCATGCTTGTATAATGCAGTACGAGTAAAATATAAACTTAATTTTAACCAATTGACTATCCGCCCACCCAGATTTGAATCTAATGCAGCAATAAGTGAGTTGAGGCTGAGTACTAGCCTTAATTTTCAACAGACTAGTCTATCGTTATGGTAAATGATTGTGATTGTATTGATTGTCAATCAATAGCTTCCTAAACCTTACTAATTGTAATGCCAACAAGGAAGCTGGTAAATCGTTTACCGAAGATGTGTCAAATCGCTTGATTCGCAGACAATTTTATTTAGTTCAAATTTGAACTCAGTAAAACGGGGCATGGTGGTTAGTGATCACTATTTAAAATCGTAACCAGTTGTTGTAGTTATTGTAGTCTACGAGAATTATGACAATAACTAATTAAAGTGATGTAGCTATACAGACTATTTCAGACATTAGATCTTTTTTTTGTGAAAGCGGTTCACCTGATAGTAAGTGATTACCGTATTATGTATTATTATTATTATTGTATTCTGTCTATTTGACTATCATTTTCAACGTTTCCACATTAGTTCCATATTAATTTTGTCACAATGAAAGTGCCTGATTTTATTTTACAAAGCTAAATTATATATTACTAAAAAGAATGGTGTTGGGAATGTGTCAGATTAAGCTAAATCCAGACTATTTTTAACTACCAGAGGGGAAATGCTTCAAGAAATGTGTCTAACGGAAAGTTTAACAGAAACAAAATTCGCTTGTTTTCTATAGTTGAATAAATGTTTTTATTACAGGAAAATAAAAAATCTTGTAGAATACGACATTGAAACAATTTACAAACAAAAAGTTTTACGTGTAGTTAGAGTACATAAGATGATTAATTTATTAACAGAAATGAATGACTCTTAAATACACATTAATTAAATTATGAATAAGTCTCGATTATATAAATTGAAATAAAATAGGTTTAGTCAGTGATTATATCACAGAAACATTATAAAGATTATAAGAAACAAACAATGCGGTTTCAACAATCCGACATAAATATCCTTATGAGGCATAATAATATAATTGGGTTAAGCAAAATATTCTAAAATAGAAGCGTTATTATATTATAAAGGAATCTATTCCTTTGTTTTTTCAGTATTCTACTCGTACATCAACCACTTCTGCAATACTTGTACTAGTTTACGGGATCACTGTAATTCTTGACCCAGTTTGTGATAATGAAGCTCGACATGGAATAAGTGGCCTTCCAGCGACCAGATGTACATAGCACAAAAGCCGAGTGCATGGCACTCGTAGAGTTAATGAATGACCTCATTAACTATGATGGAGTATGTCTGTTGCATTATTCATGTTTCCTGTATATTTGAAGATGTAGAAAAAAACATCTACGCTGTTTTATATTGAGACGTATAAGCAGCAGCAAAAAGTTTATTATTCAACTAACTTGATTTTTAATTTAATAAACCTCTAACAGAGTTTGTATATGTATTATACAAAACAAGTAAGCTGCTAGACTAACCTGTTTAATAATACACCTACTTAAAAATAATACGAGCTTGATATAATAACGTTCAATTGCCTAAGATTTACTATGATCAAAACTATGATAGGATAAGAGGATGATTCGAACTCGTGAAAAAATGTAAATGAAAGACAACGAAATAGATGTAAACTGTACAATATAAAAATGGAAGGATATAGGAGACTTTGTGATTATTATGGGAGAAAGGAGTTAAAAATATCGATCGAGTAATTAATATACGAGTATGTAAGTATAGTGGTCTTTGACATACATTCTCTCCGTTTATTTCATAAGGGACCTGGTGTTATTTTTTTTTACAATCAGTAGATAGACAACCATAGTACTACCACTACTAAATAAAAAATATTCAATGTCCCATTTTATTTAACCATTCTACAACAAAAAGCAACTACAAAAGAAGCAAAAAACGTGCAGGCGTGCTCCGCTCGACAGATGTGCTCCCGCGCATGCTTCTGATTGGTCCACTCTTACGCCAGATGCGCTTCAGGCCGCGTTGATTGAACGTTGTTAAATGGAACAAAATTACCTTTAGCTCTTCCATAATCATGGTCATGATCACATTGCTTTATCGTTTACGTAAATCGATGACAACAATAAAACTCTACATTTACAGATACTATTCCATTCTTAGTTTTACATGATTTTACTCAGCTATTGAATCTGTACCGAAAACGTCCTATCAGCTTTTTCTATAAATGAGAGTAAGCATCAAAAATTGACCTCTCAATTCTTGAAATATTACACCCATCATCCCTAATCCGGTATTCGTGGCTCGTTTCAGACAATAAAGTGAGTTATAATGGGTATAAAATGAAACCTATGACAGTATTCATAAGATTGAAAATTTCTACATACAAGTCATGCAGTCAGGTAAATTAGGTAAATATTAGTGGGTTCAGTTCATCACCAAAAAATATATGAAAAATATAAAAATAAATACAAAAAAAAAAATAAGAATTTTATATATTAAAGGGAAATAAGTAGATAACTTATTTATTTGTTTTATCAACCGGATGAGCTTTACAGTCTTCCAATACGTTCACCCAGAAAATAACTAAGTACGTACGAGTTTACGTATGTAAGTACTTAAACTCTAGGTACTAAACCATAGGTACTTATAATATTACGTAAATAAATACTATCTATCTATCTATTCATTTAAGAGCTGCGCTCTTGTCGGTGGAGCTCTTGCCACTCACTACGATTTTCAGCGAGTCTCTTCACCTCTTGATACGACACGACACCAACTCCTTCCTTGATCTGCCTGATGTAACTATGTCTCGGTCTCCCTCTTCCCCTTCTTCCTTCTATCTTACCTTCTATTATAATGTTCATAAGTTCGTCGTGTCGTATCAAGTGTCCCAACATTTTTCCCCTTCTGTCCTCAATAGTTCTAATAATTTGTCTTTTTTCCTTAACCCTAAGCAGGACCTCCTCATTGCTAATTCGATCCCTCCAGCTAATTTTCTCCATCCTTCTCCAGCACCTATATACTATAAATACTATGTCATATATTTTTATGACGATTGTATATATTACAGATATACTCAGAATAAGTAATTGTACTCGCGCATATTACGTAGCCACGTTAAATTGGGGTAATGTTCGTGAAATTGAACAACTTTACCCGATCTCCGAGGGAGAGGGGAGGAGGGATTGTTATTGATGGGGACTAATGGTCCTATTGCTAGCAAACCCTGTCAGGTCGACCTCTACGCGGTTCCTCTTGGAAACCATCGTGATTAATACTTGTTGCATTCGTTACGATTGGCTAACTGATCTGCTTTCATGCTTATCTATCATCTCTCACTGGTGCCTCACCAGTGTATACCGAAAACACAGATGGGGTTACCATTCCATTATCATCAATAAAAAAAAAACCACGTATTAACTCTACCAGAATATACCATATACTCGTATACCAAAACTAACAAAATTATAAACCTACCTGTTCTGTTATATTGAGATAAAAATAAGTGAGTTTTACGTATATTTATCTTTTCTGATTTTATTAACCCATTTGTGATAGAGAGATATACATGTAATTTGATTATTGCAAAGAGTACACCCAGGTATGTATCTAAATTTACATTATATTTTTCGAGTAATCAGTGATACACTTATTATTATTAGCGCACTGGACTGATAATATTGTATGTAAATATCACAGAAAATCGGCAAAATTTGGTTGAAATTAAGAAACAGGGTGTACATTAGGAGAAATTTACACTCAACTTGTACATGGCACAAACAAAGGCTGGTAGGAAGAGATTTTATAAACACGTATATAATTTTGTTTAAGATAACATCATCTCTACCAAACTCGACAGATTTTGATACAAGCGAATACAAGTTAGACTTTTATCCCAGAGGTGAAAGTGTTTTTAAAAAAAAAACATACTAACAAAGTCGCTGCCGAAATTGCGTCTAGGTATAAAAGATTCGCATGTTGTTATTAATAATATCAGAATTTTCGAAAATAAATCTTTCATATTATTCTAGTTTATCTCGAATATTACTCATACTTACTTACCTACGAACTATTCAACGGTATGCTCACGACCCATTTACATTTAATTATAAAGAGCAATCAGAGCAATGCAATATTTTATTTACATTATTAGGAATATATAAAATATATTTTTATTAATCAACACATTTAAAACATAAAAGTTAGTAACGATTAATTCAAAACAAGATTGAATCTCCTGTTTAAAATGTGAGCTTTCGATATTTATCGATATGTAAAGAAGTTACTTTTAACTATATAGATTCTAGAACAGTCAAAGTTCGCCAGTTGTCGTTTTGGTACGAGTAGTTCGTCCGTCTTTGTTATTCCAACAATGAAGTGTTCGACGACGTATG